AAAATTTGGCATAGATATGGATTTAAAAAATCTACCATAGATTTGGAATGGCATGACGTCAAATCTACCATAGATTAGGAATCTGCCATAGATCTAGAACCCACCATGGATGTGAGTCCTACATATATTTTGTTCTTAAGTGAAATGTTTCCATTCATTCCCCTCCTCGTGTTTATAAGGAAAAACATTGTGCTTTTTGTTTATGTAGTAACGGTTAAAAATTCTGCAGTAGTTACTTGAATTTATCATACCCATGCTGGTTTTTCGTCAACTTTTATTTTAATCAATTTCAAAAGAGACAAAAATAAGAAATCTGGAATAATAATAGTGTCCCATTCGGTTATTGCTCTTTGACTGGTGATGAACAGTCCCAAAAGGTCTTCTTTGACCGTTGGTTGGCTCTTAGTAATAAAGGGTGCCATTTGATTGGAGGTGGACTGTAGTCACAATTTGTATAATCCTTCTAGTTCTCAATGTTTCGATATTTAAATTCATAATCATGCCCTTAGTTTTTTTATTACAATTATTTTGAACAGTCTTTGGTTCTAAATGTCTACCAAAAGATTGTTCGTGGTCACAAATGTGATGACAGCTAATTTTGTGAAATACGATATCAAATTTACCAATTTTTGCTAGTTTTCCCTTCTTCTATTTTTGTGATCCAAGTCAATTGTTGATCAGTTTACTTTAACTCAGTTGTATTTGCCCCATCAGAAAACAAGTATATATTATTACAAACAGCCATACAGCAACAGTTTGCACCACATGAAATTACACCTAGAGGCCAAATAAAGCTCTTACCATACATTGTATTTTCTAATGAACTGAGATTCAAATTACCTACGGTTTTGACTATTCATTTCATCTAGGATCCTTTTATATATTTCCAACCTCCTACATGTAAAAGAGAGGCGAACGATACCAAAAGGGACATTCAAATTCATAAGTCGAAAATTAACTGACAATGCCATGGCAAAAAACGATATAAGACCAAACGACAAACAACAGTACACAAAACACGACATAGAAAACTAAAAACTGAGCAAAACGAACCCCATAAAACCGGGGGTGATCTCAGGTGTTATGGAAGTATAAGCAGATCTTGCCCCACATTTGGCACACATGTAATCGTCCTTTGCTTCCAAACTCCCTAAGCGTTCTTTCTGAAAGTGATTAAAAATATACATGTTGAAACAAAAAGCTAGTGTCATATGTTAGACTGTTTGCCTATTTATGCTTCTAGTCTTGGTGATCGTATGACAATGACATGGCATGTTCGAAATGCATCAGCTATAGTGGTAGGACCTGAATGCCAGAGTTACATTGATCATCATTTAAATGTGTCACTCAATGAGGATCCAATTTACACTGTCATATCATCTATTCCATGTGAACGTTTATGGCCATGGTTGGGACAGGAATTAAATTCGCAAACTGTAAGTATTATGGTCAGCCAAATATAGTCTTTTAAACAAATATAGACTTCTTTTAAAGATATATAAACTGTATTTATAACTGTAATGAAACATACATAAGGAAAACATGGCTAATAAAATTAAGAAAAAATTTATTCTTAGATTTATAACGGATATTTTCACAGCTAACAGTATAGTGGACCCTTACTCTCAGTGTGTAACAAACATTGAGAATGTAAATCACTTCTTTTTTGTTTGTCCAAAAAAGCTGCAGGACAAGACAGGGAAATAATTTTAAGACAAATATTAATAACTAGAAAACTGCAATATTAAAATAAGGAGATGTGATATGATTGTCAATGGTTGTCAGTTCGGGTCCTGCTTACACAAATAAGTGTGATGCGGAGAAACAAATAATTCTCGAAATGTATCTTTTTTTATCGAAAATTAAGTTCTCACCAAATCTTATTTTCCAGTTTACACACAATTCAATTAAGAATAGCATGTTATATATCTATTATATCAATGATTATTGAAATCCTTGTACAAACAATATGTTATCAAAATTTGTCAGTTTTACCAAAAATTAGGTTTAACCACAATTTTATTTTCAAATTTTCACAAAATCAAAAGATGCAGGTAAAACTTATGCTTTAAAACTATGAAAATTCGTAGAGGCCATGTTGAGTTATGGTATTATATAGAAACAATGACCGATTGACCAACAGACAAAGCAATTATTATAGTGCACCACCGACTAGCTGGTCATGGTGGAGCCCTAATAAGTTTACTAGAAACTAATATGTTTACTAAAATGTTATAAAATTAATAGTTATTGACAAATAAACTAGAATAAAGGATTACCTTGGTAGTTATTTAATGTAACTTATTAACAACTCATAGATATGTAATATGGCTATAAAACTAGAACAATATTGTTGACCACGTGGGGATTATAATCAAGATATTGGTTAAATCAAGATTTTAAGCCATTTGTTTGGTACAATATGCAGCATCAAAGTTACAGATATCAATGTATGTTAATATCTACGGCGAACAGTTAGTTTATCTATCATTTTTTTATCTGCATATTATATCATATTTCGATTGTGATAAGTCAATTTCTAAATACAGCGTTGATTTTTTTTTAGTTAGTTTAATGAAAATATACCTTTTTTTAGCATCACTATGGGCCATATGCCGATTGGATAAACAAGTCTTTTAGTCCGTTGTATACTGGCTATAAGAAACTAGAAGCCTTTGTAGATGAGGCCTATGCCAAAGGTCAAGTAGACAAGGACAAAGCACTACAGATCTACTTAAAGAGTGTGGAAGCAGATGCCGCTTTTTTTGACTCCATTCAAGCATAACATGTTTATTAAATGAAAATGACACTTTATAAATGTCGTGCATTCGAATCGCTTTTCTGAATATATTTTTATAAGGAACACTTAAACAAAATAATTTGAAAAGAGGGACGAAAGATACCAGAGGGACAGTTAAACTCATAGATCGAAAACAAACTGACAACGCCATGGCCAAAAATAAAAAACAAACAGACAAATAATAGTACAGATGACACAACATAGAAAACTAAAGACGAAGCAACACGAACCCCACCAAAAACTTGGGGTAATCTCAGGTGCTCCGGAAGGGTAAGCAGATCCTGCTCCACATGTGGCACCCGTCGTGTTGCTTATGTTATTTCAAATCCGGTAAGTAGTCTATTTCGGTAGGTCACATTCGTGAAAAGGGAAGGGTATTGTAGTTACGACATAAGGAAAATATCCGATATCATCTGTGAGACGGTTATTCCATAACGGTCAACCAATTCGTGATGGCGTCCGTAAAATTTACGAAGGGATGACTTCAACTTCACCATTTGGAACTCTTGGTTTAATAGCTTCCTTGTGAGCAGCAATTCTCTATCAAGGAAATCATGATAGGAAATACAAGCCCAGCTGAGTATGCGGTATGGGTTTTGCTAATTGTTGAAGGCCGTGCGGTGACCTATAGTTATTAATTTCTGTGTCATTTGGTCTCTTGTAGAGAGTTGTCTCATTGGCACTCATACCACATCTTCTTAGTTATATATTATGTGAACCACATACTCGACTAGCATCTATTGAGCAACTGAAAGAAAGCTTTGTCTCTTCTTTGTATGCGTTAAGACTTTCTTTGGTCCTTTGAACATCTGCTTCGATCTGCCTTTACGTGACGGGGTTCACTAACATTTCTCGAGTAAAGACATCCGATCTTGCTCCTTTTACAATTCATGCGATTCCTTCGGTTTTTTGTTTGTTACCTTTATTTGTCTCTTCCTAATCGATTTACGAGATTTGATCATCGGTAAAGTATTGTCACTATTATTTAAGACAAATACATGAAATGTTCGGAATATCGAAACAAAAAAAATTTATATTCTCTAGATCTTTTATTAATGACATGTTCAAATCAAAAAGAACTTTGGTAAAATGAAGTTTAAACCATTGTGACTAAAAGCCGAAAAAGATTATCCATATATGTTTTATGGACGCCATTATGATTAAGTTAAATGTTATTGAATACTCCTGTCACAGATGACACTCCTATCCACTTTTCCTCGATTGTGATATCGAATTTTACTTATCACCGATTTTCAAATCTACGGATGCAATTAGTGGAACTGGAACCGTTTAACCTTTCGGAGAACACAGATTTGCAGTGATTCATGTTGTTAAAGACTTTGTTCCCATGAAGCGTTTTGTCATATTTTGTGATAAGGAACCTTCTTATTTTACTTAATCCTCTTAGTGCTATGATGCACATAAGGTGATCAATATGGAACTTAAGTTAAACCTATAGATGTGTTTACACGAACATCAATTAGTTTAGCATTGAGCATCACTGAAGAGACATAAATGTCGAAATGCGCATCTAGTGCATTTAAATTCATAAAGCTGGTATCGTTAAATTTATCATGCCTCTTATTACCATGCAAACCCAATATATTAGACAAAACATGGTTATATTTTCATTATATACAATATATTGACAATTTAGTTATAGTTGTTTCAAAGAGATTTGACTACTCTCCCCTGAATTTATTCCACACAAGGGCCATTTTCAAAAAATCGTTCAGTTTCCCTAAAATTCTCAGTACCACAGCTTCTGTGTATGTTTTTCGTGTAATGCAATATGATGTCTAAACTAGAAGCAATTGCTCAAATAATAAAGGTTAAAATTGCTCTATACTGCAATTGTGTTTCAATATTGCAATTTATTCAGTCTTTATTCAACAGATATAGTTTAGAAGGCCAATCTTAACTAAAACCAAAATTCTATCTCAAATAGGTTTAAACATTTCAGCGACAAATCAATTCATTCTGGTTAAAAACGTTCGATGCAAAATTATACAAAAACATGTAAACATTTTAAAACTGTATTACATTAACCTTAAAGTCAGTACGATTTTTAGCATTTTTTTGTTTTATAAAAATATATTAAAAAAAATGTACATTTTTCAGTATATTATTAATCTCTTAAATATTCAAAATTCAGAAACTTTTAACTGGTTTTGGATATATAAAACCATTTTAGTTTGAGTTAATCGGCTGGCCGATTGACTTTGTAAGAACAACCATTCTTGTAAACAGCGTAAAATGCTGCTGCTAGGAACACACACCCAATAACACCAAAATATCCACCATACACCATGAACTAAAAGAGAAAAAAATTCCTAGAAAAGTTTTACTATAATCCTTTATCTAAAATAGAATTAATCTGCATATGGTTGATGTTTAGCTCGTAGATGGTGACAATCTCAGCGTTTAAGATTTAAAATTTTTGAAATTGCATAGTAACGAATAGTATTGCTTTGAAGTTTTAAGCGCCTTTAACTATGACATAGGACTGCTTTTCTTATATTCAAATTATATATTCATATAAACTCTCTAATAAAAATTTATAAACAATGTACTGATTATGGATACCCCATATCCTTTGCTTTTCTAAACAAAACTAAAACGAAACTATGAAATAACAATCAATCGCAATTCCGAATAATCTGTTTATTTCCATAATGCTATAACGGGACTGCATGACTTTTGGTCACGATCATGTCTGGAGTAGGTTATTCCACAAACACATGTCAGGTGCACTGTAATATTTCGATATTTTACGTTTAATTTTTTAGTAACAATTGTAATTATCATTGCATTAAAATCCCGAATTCTTATACATTATTTCTAAACAAATACCTGTGTTCGTACATTTACATCAAGACCAGCTTTATCAACAACAGTAACTGTTAGTAGCGTTTCAACGCTAAGGGATATAAACATGTTCACTCCAATTACAAAGCCATATCTCTGTTTGGAAAGGGATTTTGCAATCTGTAACCTTTAGAAGAAAGAGAAAAGAAATGCATTGGATGGGAATGTCTTTCATTAACTATGGTGAAAACATAAAAGACGCTGATACATAAATAAATGTATACCATATTTTATTCTTCGAAGTTAAGAAGTGCTATTATAACATCTTCCCGTTACACAGACAAAATCATGAAACAATATTGTAGTGTTCTATTCAAACCACAAGCAATATCCGTTTGCACATGGACGTATATAACATATTTTTTTTTTGTATTATGATATCAGTTTCCGTGGGCACAGACATGTTTATGTACCAACCTTTCCGTGTACGATCAAGACTATGTCTGTTGTGACGTTTTGGATTTCAATGAACGTAATCTATGTATTACTGGTAAATTATTAAGTCAGGGATTTCGTTACCACAAATTACTTAAAACCTTTACTAAATTCTTCCATAGATATAAAGATTTGGTTTTAAAGTTTGGTTGTACCTGTAGAAAACTTATTTCAAACGGGATAGCACATCCTAATTTTTACGGAGATGTTGTTTACCGAGCCCGGAAATTTAGAACTAAAAGGTTACCAATTCAACACTGTAATTAGATCTTTGAATATTGTTTTTATTGGTATTAATATTGATTTTGTTATCAGTGAATTAAAATCAAACTAAATATTACTTTTATATACATATGCATATTCATGGCTCTACAATCTGTCGATACCTGTATCTTCGCATTGCACAAGGTCATGTTTTTCTCTGACTGTTAATGACGTCTTTACACTAAATCCATTGGATGTTGGATGTGTACTGATTGATATTTTAGTCTTAGATGCATGATTTTTTTTTATTAGTTGTTATTGGCTTCAAACTAGCTGTCAGTAACTGCGAGTACTCTCAGATCTGTACTTAATGTCTTTTTGTTGTGGGGATGTATAAGTACCCTGCCACGTCCACTCTGTGTTTTTGTTAGATGTATTTTATTTGTATCCAGCTGATGAGTTAAGCCTTTTACAATTGATTTTCATAGTTTGTTCTTATGTTGTACTGTTACACCACTGTCCCAGGTTAAGGGGAGGGTTGAAGCCTTCGAACTAGTTCAACCCCGCCACATTCTGTATCTGCCTGTCCAAATTCAGGAGCCTGTAATTCAGTGGTTGTCGTTTGTTGCTGTGTAGCATATTTCTTTTTCGTTCATTATTTTGTTCATAAATTAGGCCGTTAGTTTTCTCGTTTGAATTGTTTTACATTTATCATGTCGGGGCCTTTTATAGATGACTATGCTGTATGGGCCTTGCTCATTGTTGAAGGCCGTACGGTGACCTATAGTTGTTAATTTCTGTGTCATTTGGTCTCTTGTGGAGAGTTGTCTCGATGGCAATCATACCACATCTTCTTATTTTTATAAATACATTCAAACTTAATAGATGTGGTTTGATTGCCAAGGCGACAAACCAAAGAACATTGCATTGTCAGTTTATTTTCGACTTATGCGTTTGAATGTCCCTTTGGTATCGTTCGCCTCTCTTTTACTCAATGCAAGTAAAATTTACTGATACGTCATGTTCAGTATAGCTTACAATCAACCAAAAGTAATGGGAACAATAAATCATCTGTGGAAAATGGTGCATTAAAGATTGGTGTAAGAAAGCAATATAATTACAAACTGAATAAATAAGTTGAAAAGATATTGGCTCAACAGATCGGTTCTTCGCACACAAACAAATAACAAAAAGGTAATAGTACAAAAAACACAAAAATGGGTCTAAGAGATTCACTGTTATTGAAAGCTTGATCAAATTCTATTTACAATTATAAATAAACATGTTTTCCCAGACTAAAATATTAATTAGTACTAATCAGACCAAAAAAAAAAACAATTAGTACTTCAAACATTTAATTTAAATCTGACAACAAACGCATTAAAATCATATTATATATATAACCCTATAACATGTTAGAATACATCTTTTATAGATCTAATGATGCATTCTATTTGTCGAGAAATGAATTAAACAATGAATAAAACAGTACTTAAATATATAGAATAAAGACGTACGTTGCTAAAGTAATTACTGTGTGATAGGTAGCTCTGAATGCGCTATAAAATGCATAGCAAACCCAAATGCTGGTGGACTGTGCCATAATGATAAGAACAATGATGTTGAAGAAGCAAACAATGGCCATCGTTGTTTCAGAAATCCCGGGGCGTGACCAGTTAGTAGGCAAGAATCCAAATAATAACACACTCAACACACCTAGTTATAATAACAAAAGATATACGTTAAAACAAATCACGTACATCATTTATAAACAAACAAACATACAGATGGACATTAAACCGAAAGTTGTATTGCAAAATATTACGAAAATTTACGAGCCTTATATATAAAAACATTGAAACTTCATTTATATATTGTTAGCTTTGTTTCTTCAATTAATTGATACAAAATACTGACACAAGTTTATTTGTTTCGTTGGGTTCCTGTCTCACTGACGTTTACCTCTCATTTCCCATTAATTCTTACAAGTTAACAGTAACACAATGATAATCAATTGACTATACAAGCTCTTGGCTTTTGACAAAAACAATTAGTATAGATCGTAGTTAAACCTTTGTTCAGCTCGTCTAAAATCTAAAAGAGAGGCAAAAGATACCAAAGGGACATTCAAACTCATAAGTCGGAAATAAACTGACAACGCCATGGCAAAAAAAGAAAAAGACCAAAAGACAAACAACAGTATACAAAACACAAAATAGAAAACTAAAGACAGAGCCATACGAACCCCACCAAAAACCGGTGGTGATCTCAAGTGCTCCGGAAGGGTAAGCAGATTCTGTCCACTTGTGGCACTCGTCGTGTTACTCATGTAAGTACAAACCGGTGATAAGTCTAATACGGTGGGTCACAATCGGGGAAAAGAAGGACGGGTTTGAGATTAATTTGTGACGATTGGAACATATCCTTCGTCATCTGTGAAACATATATTCCATAACGGTCAACTAACTAGTGATGGCGTCCGTAAAATTTTCGATGGGATGATTTCAACTTCACCACTTGGAACTTTTGGTTTAATAGCTTCCTTGTGAGCAGCAACCCTCTATCATGGAAATCATGATAGGAAACGCAAGCCCTGGAATATCGTATCAACTGAGAGATATATACTCCAAAGCAGGCGCTGCTGGAATGTTACTACATAAAAATGGAAAGTTCACAATTGGGAAGCTGAAATCATCTTTTTTGTCGTAAAGTTTTGTTATCAACCGACCCTCATTGTAAATTTCTAAAAAGATGTATCATAGGCTTAAAGGACCGACAAACATACGATTCCAAAAGTCAGTATTGTGATGAGGAAACTAATTTAATATATGAATCTCATTAAGCAAAGCAACAACAAAATTGGATTTGATAATAAAACATGTTCGTTGTGTCCGACACATGTCATAGGGGCGTCTCTAGACGCGAAATAGTCTTTACTATGTATCAGACTTTAATAAATTGATCAGAATTACGTAATAGAACATTTTTGAATTCAATCACCTGTATTTTCAAGTTTATATTTTTATGGCACATAATGTGTAAATGTGAAACATGCTCCATCGAACTTTGTAAATCTATCGACCGTATGTCCGACAGCACCGAGTGTTATGCACATTATGTCGCTTCTTATGTCGCATTAAGTATCAGAGATGCACACGAATATGTTCTAATTGTCGTATCCAGAGTTTTGTTTTTATGGTTCCTTTTGTGTCTTCTGTTTCTTATTGAAAGGAAATAAATTTATCAGAAACTTACTTATAATAGTTCCAAAGGCCTCTACTGCTGCATTATAAATTGTTCCTTTCTTAGCTGGACTTATAACTTCCCAAAGGTTCTGGATATAATTCGACACTTGGAGATGTCCACATGATGCAAAGGCCCAAAAACAGCACCAAATCAATACAGATTTATCGGAATATAATGTCTTTAATTCTCTCAATAAAAACACGAAACCTCGTTTCAAAGTATTTTTCCGATCATTTGAATTTTCTTGACTCGTTGATAATCCAATCTTGTTCAATTCTATCTCAACAAAGTCTTGTTTGTCGACTTGTTTCTCTTCGGTTTGAAAAATATAAGAATGTTGGGGTCTTTTAAAAGTCAAAGATAAAAGAAAAGCCAGCGAAACACTCACAAACGATATTATATTTAGCTGATGATAATCCATCAAGTAGAAGGATACAAGCAACTGGCCGGTCAAATACGCTGCAAAACGACCAGCAAGGGTTGCAGCCCTTGTGAAACTTGTTATTATCTTGAAACGATCACTAGAAATCATTGCAAATAAATAAGAATAGTAAGCTACTTCTGTTGCCGACACCAAGCCAAAAGTTATTTGCATGAATTTCATTGCCAAAACGCCACGTGCCCAAAGCAGTAGTGACCAAGTTGCAATGTAAGCTACACCTGTTAAAAGAAATGATTTTACCTGGAATGTCATATTGCAGTCTAATGGTTAAGCCTTTTTCTGAAAACAGTGTATAAATTATAATACAAAGATAATACATTACTGATACAAATGTTATGCAAAAAATAACCTTAAAAGCGATAATAGTATTATGGTAACGTTATACAGTAAGCACTGTCTTAATTTTATTCACAAACAAACTGAGAAAAACCATGTTTCCGTTTATAATAATTTTGCAAAACGTCTATTTCGATATAAATAGTTTGAAATAGTCCTGTAGTCTTGATGACAGTTTTCCCTGATAGTATATTCTGCCATTTCGACTGGATTCTAGAATTAAAAAAAATACAAATAACGTTTTAGTGCTATATATGTCAAATTTCGATTTCACAAGCATTCGAAGGCTGGCTTCAGGGTAACTGTTATTTGGTACTTAAGGGGACGATGTGAATCAAATTTAAATGCTAAAAAAAAATAAAAAATGTTAGAGTTCATACAACCCAGGATCATTCTGTTGTATAGATGATGTCATCCACTAAATTATTCAATGTTGGACAAAACCATCCCATGTACATGAAGTAAAGGATATATGGTACAGTTATATAAATTAAATAGATGTGGTATGATTGCCAATGAGATAACTACCAAACAGAGTTCAAATAAATCGGATTTAAGCAACTACTAGATAGTTCATCGTACGGCCTTCAATAATGAGCAAAATCCATACCGTATAGTCTGCTATACAAAGAACCGACATGACAAATGTGAAACAATCTAAACGGGAAAAAAAACACCACCTGATGTATGACAGAACAATAAACGAAACCGCTAAACAGCCTTCTGACTTCGGACAGTCACATTTACCTTAGAGATCGATATATTTGTTAAACTGTTTACAAAGAAAGAACCTGTAGTTAATTGTAGAGCCGTGCATAATTATTGTAACTTTCGGTTTTTCTTCCATAAAAAGAGTGTAGCTGCTTACAATGAAGCTATTGAACCAAAAGTTTCTAATTGTTTACCTAATGATAATTATAAATTTTATCATAAAAAACTATGATTTAAAAAAAGGATCAGTCTCCGTTTTCTCGAACTTACACGGTAACCTATGTTTTATTTCCAGAGTTTTCTGTGATCATATCTCGTCATATTATATGTTCAAATATCAAAAAAAGAATTTTCCATATGAAACTGTCCAAACTCTCTTTAATATATCTAGATGTTATATTTCTATTTTTGGCAGTGTAAGGGACAATTTACCGAATATTAGTTCCTTTATTTCATTTGATACATGAATTATTTATAAAATGTAAGTACCTCCCAGTGCCAACATTGGTTGGTATCTTAGATAATCTGTGAGAAGGAAGACAGGCACGAGCCATACAAGGTAAGCATAAGTCCATACAGGATAGATTTCATTGTTTACTTCTTTCACTGTAAGATTCTTCCATGGCCCAGTTAAATAATCTGACAAATAGGCTTCAGATGGTCGGTACTCCTTTAGAAAGCCATACAAACATACCAGAAAGGTCAATACCTTCCAGTCCATATTTCTGATTTCAAACAAAATAAGAGACTTATATTATATAGTACTATGCATGTCTCTAATCACAATTACAATCTTGATGCTTTTGGTGTTGCAGAACAAACAAAAAATTCAAATGCAATTACAATTTAAGAAACAAAAGTCATCATAACATCTCGGGAAAGAGTACAATAAAGAAACCGCACAAACATATCACTCAAGATCATCCATATTAAAGTAAAAAAGTAAAACTGCATGTGATTTCTTCGTCAGGTGCGCTGAAGAATTATTCATTCCAATATCTAACATATCTTCATATGCTCATATAAGTTTTTATCAAAACGAAGAATATGAAATTAATGTAATCTAATAATAAATAAAGTTTAACATAAAATTTCAACGATGTAATAGAACTCAAGAATAATTTAAGAAACTAAGGTTTCAACTCCCTTAGACAAAGTTGACCTTAAATGAATTTTACTATTATTTTTAGGTCCTTTTTTGGTCATATAGCTCTTTAACTGCTTCGGTTCTTATACATCTTTGGCTTTCAAATATTCAGCTTCAAGCGTTCCTGATAAAGGTTAATCCAGAAAAGCGCTTCGGACGCATGAAATTTATAAAATGTTGTTTTCATTTTTAAAAGTATGTATGATACAAGAGGAATTTGAAATCTAAATCAAAATACAAACTACTACTCACAGAATATCACATCAGTTCCTAGAATATCGACCGGTTCCCTTTTAACATAAGCCTTCCTTAAAATCAAAGGTTTCTCTTTACTGAAAAAAGGTAATATTTACCAAATTAATTCTAATCAACTGGCATATTTTTAACACGGATATTGATAAATATATCTATGATAACAACTATTGGTACAGAGAGGTTATGTAAATGACGACCACGATCTGCAATATATTATACTATCATGACACGAATTAAAAAAACCAAACCCCAAGCATACAAAATTGTGCTAAAAAGAAGGGTGGAAGATACAGAAGGGATATTCAAACTCATAAATGGATAACATGTCAAACTGACAACACCATGGCAAAAAACTAAAACCGATTTCTGCAACTACTTGATTTACTTATGTTTTATGTCTGTTGTCATGACAGTTACACAGTTTGCAAAACTCTATTTTTGCTAGGTTTTATGTTCTTACCATGCGAGCATATTGTATTGGCATTTGCGACTCACATGGTAAAAAGCGTCTCATCACCGTTCGTGATTAAGCAAATAAGGAAGCTACTTATGTACTCAACCAACGGATTTCTTATGTAATTTGTACTTCAGTACTTTACAGTTTCTATTATAAAGTAAAATCACAAAAATACTGAACTCCGAGGAAAATTCAAAAAGGAAAGTCCCCAATCAAATGGCAAAATCAAAAGTTCAAACACATCAAACGAATTTATAACAACTGTCATATTCCTGACTTGGTACAGGCATTTTCTTATGTAGAAAATGGTGGATTGAACCTGGTTTTAAAACTAGCTAAAACTCTCACTTGTATGACAGTCGCATCAAATTCCATTATATTGACATCGATGTGTGAACAAAACAAACAAAAACAATAGGTAAAAATGTCACAAATAGGGGTAAATAGTCTAATTCGGTAGGTCACATTCGTGAAAAGGGAACGGGATTGTAGTTACGACGTAAGGAACATATCCGATATCATCTGTGAAACGGATATTCCATAACGGTCAACAAACTCGTGATGGCGTCCGTAAAATTTACAAAGTGATGATTTCAACTTCACCATTTGGAACTCTTGGTTTAAAAATGAAAATTCACAATTGGGAAGCTGAAATCATCTCTTTTGTCGTAAAGTTTTGTTTTCAACCGACCCTCATAGTCAATTTCTATATAAGTCATAATCAAATGGCAAAATCAAAAGCAATTGTATCAAAAAATATGTTGTACATCTACTTACAACTTACGTTTAAGGAGAAGCAGTTCGACTTAAGGTTTTGGAGAAGCAATTCAGATTACGGTTCTGGGGAAATAATTCATGTTGTTACTTTCAAGAAAAGTCGCAAAATGGTAGGCATAGGCTGGTCTATTCGTTCTTTGGCAAATCGCCATCTTCAGATAGCGGATGGATGCTTTAAATCAAGAAGATAACATTTTCGACAAGCTATGTCGAATTTTAAATAAAAAATAACACAGGACGACATGTCACACTACCTTGACACTTAACCATGATTTAGGCACGTTTTTGTTATTCTTTCGAAGCACTGCATGCTAAACAGAAAAGCAAATGCCACTCAAAGTATCGGATTAAATTTTGCCGAAATCGAAATTCTCCACCAAAGATTGTCCATTGGACTCCTCTTAATACCAGAAACCCTTTATCCAAACCTTTATATCCCAGAGTGTCTTTATATCAAAAGTATGTTAATTTTGTTTAAATATAAATTTTAAATCAAACTTGTTTTGGTATCCTTTTATTGTTTTCTGCAAATTCAATGCCAAATAATGCTAGTGACAATATGGGCAATTGGAGTAGGTACAGAATGTCCCTTGTATCATTTCATAATAACGAATACAGATGTTACTGATAAAATTATTCTCATTAAGCCATGGGAGTTAATTTTTCTCCATACACTCCCTCGAAAGACTGTTTTTAGCAGGACATTCGACCAGTAAAAATCATGATCCCATTATGATATATATGTTTCTGTAGCAATCGGACTCCTACTGGTTACCTGTGGTTCCTAAAGCCCCCGCAGTTAATCAAGAAACACATGTTATGCGCCAAGACCAATATCATACTTTGTACATTTATATCAACAATTAACACAACAAATCGTACAGATTCTTACCTTTGTGTGACATCACCTATACATACAATGTAAATCAGATTTACTGTGTCAATATTACTTTATAGATTGGGATGCATGTTTACGTATGAATGAAAAGATATCTGCACTTTTATTTATCTTATGATAGGCCTATGGATAACTATCTAAAAGTATTTCTAGTATATTATATATCTATATTCCAGGGATCACCATAGCCTTTTTAAGTGTAGAGCTCATCCACCCTTGAATATTTATCCTTACCCTTTGAATTCCAGCTGCACTCTCAGCTTAAATCTTAAATTATTAAATGATATACATGTATGTTTGAAAAATATGTCCTAATATGTATGATTCGGAAAGACTAAATTTAATTTTTGTTTTCAGTTTTTGAATGGATCAAAGCTATTCGATCATGCATTCAGAAGCGCATTCAAAAACTACGATGCAATATGAGCACAAGAGTTACTAACCCTTTCAAAAATCAGGATGTTGTGGATGCTTTATCCTCTTTGCATGACAAATATGTCGTTGTTCCAGCAGATAAAGCCTCCAATAATATTGTCTTCATATGTAAAAACCATTATTTGCAATGTCTCACAACAGAGCTTGGAATAAATAGAACTACTGGTAACCCTACATATTCTTTAACATCATTCACCAAGGACGAAATTTTACAAAGTCACAAATCTGTCCTTCTTTCTTTTGGTATCAACATCAAAGAAAACGAAGGAAATTTACCATCATTATACTGGATACCAAAACTACACAAAACTCCATATAAAGAACGATACATAGCTGGGTCATCAAAATGTTCGACTAAACATCTTTCTAAAGTACTGACTACTATTCTTTCTACAGTTAAAGATGGGCTTCAAAAATATTGTGATGAGATATATTTTACCAGTGGTGTTAACCAGATGTGGATTCTCAAAAATTCGAAAGATCTACTGCTTAATCTTCGATCACAATCTTTGCAATTTTGCAGCAACATAAAGACTTTTGATTTTTCTACGCATTACACTACTATTCCCCATGCTCAGTTGAAAGATCGACTTCACCATCTCATTAAACAGAGCTTTTTCTATAAAAATGGGAATCGTAGATACAATTTTTTTGTTTTGGGTTACAATAATTCATATTTTGTGAAAAACCACACTGAATCTACCAGAAAATATACTGAAGATGATAATATCAAAATGCTGGACTTTTTGATCGACAATATATTTGTTGAGTTTGGAGGATTTATATTTCAACAGACAGTCGGTATTCCAATGGAAACTAATTGTGCACCCCTACTGGCCGATTTGTTTTTGTACTCGTATGAAGCAGAATTCATTCAGAACCTTCTAAAAGACAAAAAGAAAAAGCACCTTTCGAAATTCTTTAATTTTACTTTCCGATATATTGATGATGTTCTATCATTGAATAACCCATATTTCAGCCAATACTTACATCTCATATATCCCAGTGAACTTGAAATTAAGGATACTACTGATACTAGAAGGACTGCTTCATACCTTGATCTTTTCCACAATATTGACACAGATGGACGACTTCACAGTTTCGGTTTACAGTTTGATTCAGAAGAAACACCGACATAGCTAGATAATAAAATTAATTATCTAATTACTACCACAATTTGATATTATAAGTATTGTAATTTTCATTGTTATTAATAAATGTAATGTCAGTATTACAAATCTAATCTTGAATCAATCCTAATCCTATCTTATTTTTTGGGAAATATTTTTACAAATTCAAATGTGACGTCACTTTGTGTGTTTTTTTTTAGAATTTCAAATGTGACGTCACTTTGTGCGTTGATGCTTTGGCTAACTCGGCTGTGTATTTTTATATGTTGGATTAAGTTGTTTTATGTTATGTATCCGTTTTTATTCTGTAGATAGTCCCCACTTTGGTTTTATCATGTTTATCTATTATATAGTCATTTTATGAGATTTACTGTTTGCAAAATTATAAATTATTCTTAATAATAAGGATGTTCTTGTCCCAGGCAGAAAACCCTGGCCGTGTTAGGCGCACCTTTTTGGAAATTTTGGTCCTCGGTGCTCTTCGGCTTTGTACTTGTTTTGGCTTTCAAGCTTTTTTCATCTGAGCGTCACTGGATGGTCTTGTGTGGACGAGACGCACGTCTGGCGTATTGAATTTTAAGCCTAGTACCTTTTGTTAGCTATTATTCGTGTGTTTCTTTGTCCGATATGTTCTCCCGTCGTTTTGGTGTTGTGTTTGACGTTGCCATTAAAGCGGGAGGTTTTGCATGCCACAAAACCAGGTTCAACCCACCAATTTTTTCTTAAAATGTCCTGTACCAAGTCAGGAAAATGGCCATTGTTATATTATAGTTCGTTTCTGTGTGTGTTACATTTTAATGTTGTTCTCCTCTTATGTTTGATCTCTATCGATTTATGAGTTTCGACCAGCGGTATACTACTGTTGCCTTTATTTGCCATAACATACATTTTTTAACATATTTTTTTACATGTATTGTTATTTGTTTGACGGTTTTTTTTCACATGAAAACAAAGTTAAAATCTTTAATTAAAATTATATCCAGGCAAAATGTATTATTGAAGTATAATTTCTAATGGAAATGCTCCAATAAATAAATAACAAAATGTGATATATAAAGGCAACAGTAGTATACCGCTGTTCGAAAACTCATAAATCGATAGAGATAAAAACAAATCCGGGTTACAAACTAAAACTGAGGGAAACGCATCAAATATAAGAGAAGAACAACGACACAACAAAAACACAACATTAAAATGTAACACACACAGATAATAATTGTCATTGATACAAAATTCCAATCTAAAGACCAAATTACAAGGATACAGACAACTTATGAATATGCATGTAATAAAAAACGGTTTTCACATTTAGACCGTTTATTAACCCGAATAATTCAGTCCCTCCCCGTAATCGATCTCTCCTACTTGCGAGGAGTAATCGTAGATCAGCGGAATATAACGACTGAATTATTCGGGTTAACCGTTTATTAGCAATAAACGGAATTACGGACATACTGACGGGTAGGTTGATTTATCGGTGTTTTCCGAAACGATAATATATATAATTGTCTTTTTTTGTCTTGACTTGTTCAGTATCGGCGTAACACATAACCACATATATGTCCGATTGGTAGCAACCACAATCAAGTTCTCATTTCGTCCAAGGATATGTATACTAGTTCTTGTTCCGAATTTATGACTATCCCCGACTGGGACTTACCAAAGGGTAATTCTTTGTAATGAGCAACACGACAGATGTCACTAGTCGAGTCTACCAGGAACTGTCTGCCGAATACCGGGTCCCACATCAAAATGATGGGGTTCCTGTTGTACAAACTTTGGTTTTCAGTGTCGTGTGTTGTAGACTGTTGATTTGTATTATTTTGTATTAGTTTGGCAACAGTATTGTTTGTCCATAATAAACTCATCATAGATACCAGGATTAAAATTTTGTAAGCCAGACGCTCGTTTCGTCTACAAAAGACTCATCAGTGACGTATGAATCTTCGACTTCGGATTTTATAGGTCCTTTGGTATTTTTTTTGGCTGTTTTTTTTTAACAGTGCCTGTCCAATTGAATACAAATAACTACAAAATACAGAGGGGTTTGAAATAGGAAATTATTTAAGATATGCATCTCCTTTGTCGTAATGCTTTTGTTATTGCCGACAAGTACTGACTATACACCTTATCGCTATTCAGCCAATTTCCGAAAAAACAGTCACTTAGACAACTTCCTGTTTGGGTCAAAAGTCGCAAAAAAAGTCATCAGTAATGAGCTGAGGAAGGCAAACGTTTAGAAAGTGAACATTTTGAAATTTTTATATGTCCTTTTTGGTTTATAAAAAGCTCTTCATTGTTCCAATAAGCTTTTGATTTTCAAATATTTTGGCCTCCAGCATCACTGAAGAGACATGTATTGTCAAAATGCGCATAAGGCGGAGCAAAATTGGTACCGTTAATGTAATTATAGTAATGGGGTGTAGAAATATTTCACCCGACAGTTGACACTTGGATGAAATGAATTAACAACTAACAGTTGATATTTTCATGTAATGGATTTACACCTTACTAGTTAGTATTAGGACAAAAAGTCTATTGTTCTCCGACTACATCCATGTTGTATTTGCAGGAATGACCCTTTAGCTTTCCCAGTAAAAAAAAATTTACTTCTGAGAAAAAAGAAGGATGAAGAAAAAGCTACACATGTATATTTTTTTAAATAATGTAATTATGTTAAAACTAAGGATGCAACTTCCTCAAGCAAAGCTGATCTTTTAGATGCTGTATTTAGGCTCTTTTTGGATCAATGGTCTGAAACATTTTAGTATTTCTTGACTTTCCTAAGTTTAGGTAATGAGCATTACTGATGATGGGGACTTAAGAAAATGTGTTGTGTCCGGAAAAATCTTTATCATTTGTCATTCTTAGTACCACTGGGTGTGTTTACCTTCGCTGATGGAATATTAATCCCAGAATGTACCATCTGACCAGCAACAAATGTTTTTATGGACATGATTTAATTGATACATTTTGTTGGAAATTTATAAACAAAGTGTATCATACTAAAACCTAGGTTGCAACTTGCAACTATTTTGGGCAATGCTTACCGAAGATGGTTTTGGCTTTTTTATTAGGCATTTTTTATTATAACTTTCCTCACTTTTGGTCATGAGCGTAAAATTCATGTTTTGACAAATAACATCCAATACAAAGATATAACATCTGAAAAATATGGTACCAAATTTTATTTTACTCATAATAACATCTGCTTACATATAGAAAATGGGAATATTTGTGAAAGAGGTAGTTTTATAGATATTAACTGTAAATTCAGAAATTGAGCCTTGCATTTATTATTGTGATTCTTTTAGAATGAAATTTCATATACAAAAATTTTATAATCACACCTTGCATATAAGGCTGTCCAAAGTAAAATATCGATAATATAAGACTTATCCTAACAATATCAGATTTGTTTACATTACCAATTACTGATAACTGTCCAGCAAGTTTAATATTTTCATAAGGATGGTGCTAAATTTCATGAACAAAAAAACTATTTGAATAATTCAAAAAAGTTGCAAAATACCTGGAAATATCAAAAGCTTTCTAGTTCTTGTCTGATTTCTTTTGTGAAAAATGGAAAATTGTGCTGTTTCATATCTCAATATATATTGTTCAATCTCAAAAAATTAGAAAAGAGGACATTTTCTTAAATAAATTTTGAAGACAGAAAGAAGATGAGACTTTTGACATTTAGTCCTCCTACTCAGTCTGCCTGACCCAATATCAAGCTTTTGAGGAAGATCTCTGATATGATATACATAACCTAAAGCTAATAGAATACTAGCACAGAGCTGACTCCATTTAATTCCCATTGCTGGAAAAATATGTACAGCTTGTGTAATTGTTATCTTGAAAATAAATCTTATAAGACATTTCCTTAAAGATATCTTTAGTAAACTCATAACATTGCAAAAAAAAAGAATACAGTCAATAATTTCTGAATTTACAGTATTAATATAGTTCTCCTCCTTCTTGAATATAAATAAGGCCGAAAGTAATAATTTCCTTCAATTGGTTATTATCAAAATAATGCAATTGAGTTAATAAATATATAATTGTGTAAAATTTGTAATAAAATTGACTAGTCTATATAATTGTTTTGACAAAACAAATAATTTGGGTAATAGTAATGAAAAACAAATTAAAAATTATAACAATTACAATAATCATCAGCAAAAAACTGTAACAATCAAAATAAGTACAAGCAATAACTACAATAAAATGTATGTAAACAGATATGAATAAATCTTTAGTCTCTCAAACAAATACAACTAACCATTATGATCGATTCATATCGGAAAATGATTCCCCAAATAAACTTAGCCCAGTATGTCTCAGGAGATGGCAGTTTTTGCCTTACAATGCTATTTGCAGTATAAACAAGCTATGCAAGGAGTACCCTTCATAACAAAATAGGTTTCCCTTAACCAAGTTGGTCTGGCTGGGGGTGACTAATTATTAAGCTGGAAATGATGAGAAAATGAGGGCAAAAAAAGTGTAAATATGGCACAATTTAGTCTTTTTTTATGTGATTCTTAAAAATGAATTTGAATCCAAAATAAAACAGATGAAATGATGCACAAAGCATTTTCTGAAAAATATTTTGTAAAAGTTTCATTGGCTAGTCAGGGGTCAAGATCCCTATCTCCTGTCTACCTAAATGGCCTAAATGCTACTTATTCAAAAGTTAATGAATATTAATGAATAAATATTTGTTTCATGCCTGTCACTAAATTTTCAAATCATAAATTCCAATTTTACACCCATTATAACCTAGTGTTAAACTGTTATCACTTTAGTTAAGATTTGTTCAAGAACATTTTAAAGTAATCATTCAAAATTGACCTAATATAATATTATTGACTAAATATAATAGTATCACAAAAACAACATTTAAAATAACAATAAACAAAATACAACAGAAAATGCCCACTAAACGCTTTCATTTAAAAGATCTTAGACAAAAAGATATAGTACAGAGAATACAGTTAAAGCATCCAGATTAAATGACATTGAAACAATCACTAACAAAAATATAATTACTTTGAAAAAAAAACTGGTAAACTAAACTACCATTTGAAGTTATTGTTTTTGCACCAAAAGGGGAATAAAGATATTTTAGAATTTTTTGTTACCAGTGAGGGCAAATTCTAGTTTGTCATGCTTTCTTACCAGTAATTGGTTTATCTTCAATGTCTTTGAGTACGGATATACTATTGCAACAGGGATTAATTATAAAATGGAAAGAATAATGTTTAAAGTCAATGATAATGTATTAATAAATGTCCCTAAGTGAAGCTTTATTGTTAATATTCATCTTTCAAGTTGGCATGCATTTACTAGTCATTAGTAAAAAAAATTCTAAAATTTTTGACACACAAGGTTACTAGCTAAAATATAGCTTAAATATATAAATTTGTAGTGAAAACATGGGGAATTTTCTTTAACGTTTCCTAGTGTGTGTTCCCATGAGACAGTATTGTTCTTTGAAATCAATGTTTTTTCTATGAGATGAATATCAAGAATTACCTCCTGAACACCATATATTTTACTATTACGGGAATAAATTTTTAAAAGAAAATAAATCTGATTGTCTTCCTTAAAGACCAGTTTATGTTGCAATCCAAATTTTTTGTAAGCTTTTTTTCATGGGATAACAGTAAAAAAAAGGAAAATCGAAGAAATTCTGACCGTATTATTAAATTACAAAACTGTTTATGTCAATATATTGACTCAAATAAAAAAGATTTAAAAATAGGTGATAAGGCTAATAATAATTGTATGTATCACAACCATTTTGGTAAGTATACATTCACAAGTTACTTTATATCACACAAGAAAATATAAATCAAAAAGGAAAATAGATTCCCCCTCTTTGTTTCATAAAACACAAAGAAACAGGGTGCATTTACAAAAAACAAACAATACTATATCACTAAAGAAACAGCACAGTTTTATATTGTAAGCAATGACCATGTTGACAGGAATAACAAAACAAACAAAATATACATTAGCCAAGGCTTCAATATATCAATTAAACTGTGTAGCATCTATCTTTAAACTCAATTATATATTCTATCAAATAAAATTGCCATACTTATCAGTCTATCAAGTCTAATTACCTGAAATGAATTATAGAACTATAGAAATACACAAAAAAATACTGTTGCAGCTTTTTAATAAGTCCTCCAAAATTAATACAGGATAAACTCCTCAGAAGGTTTCAACTGCTTGTCACACTGCAATAGAAAACATTTGGTCAACATTGAGAATGATAAAACTAGATTAAAAAGTCTCCAAAACTAATTACCTTTTTAACATGTTTAATAATAAGCCCAGCCCTAGGAATCAAGATACCTTAATATTATTTTTGTACCAAAACATAGTATTTTCATTTACAGGAAATTTTATCCATCAGATAGTAGGGCTTCAACACAAAAGTTTCAGTAAGCCAGACATTTCTATCAATCCTGTTTTCAACCTCTTTTGGACAATGTACTTAGAGGGAATTAAGGTAATTATGGGGGAATCAAGGGCAATGACTTTAAAATGAACTGAAAGTTACTTATATATTTAAAGGAATTCATTTAACTGACAATGTATAGTATGGAGTGTGGAACATCATTGGACTATCATGGCTATCCTCTTTATTAATGCACTAACTCTCAAAGAAAATTTACTTTTGTTTTAAAGCAAACATTTTCCAAAACCAGATGTTGACTTGTCAGTGATAAAACTTTAAACACAGATGGAGTACGTGAAATCCGTGAACTTATTATCATGAATCATTAATTAAAGGACTTATTTTCATGTTATTTCTTCAAGCAAAATATTTGAGATGAACACAAGTACTCAGGTATATATCTAGAGGTATAACCATTAAAATTACATTTTTGCAGTTTTTGAGAAATATATTTACATTTTAGTTTGTAAACAGGGTGTTTTCGCTTAATCGATTTATGACTATTGAACAGCAGTATACTACTGTTGCCTTTATTAAGTAATGATGACTTCCATGCTTGATGGTCAGGTCAAGATGATCAAACATAATTATTCTGATGGATTAAAAATAGGCCCTTAAAAGACTTTTCATTATTTGTTTTTTGAAATATTTGTCGATTTGTAGGGTACATAAAACTGAGGTTATTATTACCTGTTGACTTATTGCATCACCACATGCCATCCTTATCTTATCAACAGTAGCTGGGCATGGTAGTTGGTAGTATCCATCTTTCCCAGAATCCTTTCTGGCAGCCATTACTGCTTCCTGTAATGCTTCATGAACAGACACACCTAACAGTAATGGCGGTTCACCACATCCCTAAAATCAAACAAAATCATAAATTAGGAAAATTATGCAAATGAAAAAACTGTCTGTGGTTTAATGTTTGTATTTGTGAAATGTACTTTTTTGGTTCACTACTCAACAATTTTGGATCATCACAACTATCTTTTTCATCATCAATTTATAAAGTCTCTTTTCAGTGCTTTATATGCAAAAATAAACTATTTCTTACTTTTAAAAATTCTGAAATAAACATTGAACAATATGGTCCATGTCATTGTCTTTAATTATAACCCTGCAACTAAAGAAATCTAATTTTAAGGTAAATATGGGACATAACTCTTTATCATTAAATGACAAAATTATCAAATCAAACATTAACTTATTTAATAAGCCATGACATTGTGTTCATTTCTAAATATTTGGTCTAGTGGTTATCTTTAATCATCATGTGAGCTGGTCCATTTCTATCTGATGCAGCTCATGTTTAAACAAAAATGTCATGAACAAATGAAAGGACTGACATGTGCAGAACTTTATACCCCCATCTTCAAAGCAGGATATAGTAGATACATCTAAAATCATTCCCTACATTTACATATTGACACTATTTACATGCAGAAACGCTTTTTTTATTTAATCAATAAATACAGATCTAGACAAGAGCTCCTCTTATCAAGCCTAACCTGAAATAAATTGAATAGCAGGTAAATCATACTTTTCGTTATAAATAATCTGTAACTTCTGATTACAAATAAAGTACAAAGAATCAGCTCCATATCTCAATACAATAGCTGATGACATAGCAGAAAAATGATTTTTTTTGAAGTTATCTGAGTCAAAAAGTGATAACAATTAACCATGGTAACTGGTGATGAGTTTCAAGCCTTTTTATCTAAATTACAGCATTTGTAGATGAAACAAATAAAAAGCTGTTGTCCTTCTTCTCATTGATATATCAATTAGACTGAGATAAATGAGTATTTTTCATATCTAAACATCTTTTTGCCTTTTGAAAAATGTTTTTTGCATCCTTCACAATAATTCAACTTCAGCATACCTTTGCAGAATAAAGTGACTTTTTAAATCTATTGTCTTTCAACAATGTAACATTAAGTTTTCTGGGTATGTTCCTCACTCCTGGGATTTTGTAGTCCAGAGGTCCTGAATTCTTGACCTGACCATTTGGCTTCAGGTAAATAGCTTCACTTGTCATCAATCCATATCCCTTTAATATAAATAGTTATAACTATAATATGTATGCATAAACTATTTATATATTTATATATTATAGACAAATATACAAAATACTTTGATGTTTGAAACTCTTCAGGGATCACCACATGCCATTTAAGATGGTACTCCTCCACCCTTTAATGTTTAGCACCATCCCTTAAATTTTCAGCACCCCTCTTGATTATCTCAGCATTAACCTTGAAAAAAGTAAAACAACAAAAATACCGAACTCCAAGGAAAATTCAAAACGGAAAGTCCCTTAACAATCGGCAAAATCAAAAGCTCAAACACATCAAACGAATGGAAAACAACTGTCATATTCCTGACTTGGTACAGGCATTTTCTTATGTAGAAAATGATGGATTAAACCTAGTTTTAAAGCTAGCTAAACCTCTCACTTGTATGACAGTCGCATAAAATTCCATTATATTGACAACAATGTGTGAACAATAGATATAGGAAGATGTGGTATCAGTGCCAATGAGACAACTCTCCATCCAAGTTACAATTTATAAAAGTAAACCATTATAGGTCAAGGTACGGCCTTCAACACGGAGCATTGGCTCACACCGAACAGCAAGCTATAAAGGGCCCCAAAAAATTACTAGTGTAAAACCATTCAAACGGAAAAACCAACGGTCTAATCTATATAAAAACGAGAAACGAGAAACACGTATGAACTACATAAACAGACGACAACTACTGTAATCAGATTCCTGACTTAGGACAGGTGCAAACATTTGCAGTGGGATTAAACGTTTTAATGGTACCAAACCTTCTCCCTTTTCTGAAACAATAGTATAACATCACAACATAGAAAAACACACTATAAAATATCAATTGGAAGGCTTAACCCATTAAAAAAACGTAAATTAACTCACAATGAACGAATAAATTTGACCTGTGACACCTGAATGCAAATACACAGTTAATAAAAAATTACAAGGGATAAATAATTAAAGTCAAAAGTAAATAAACAGGTTTAAACAAAGTTAGATTATGTTATCACTGTGAAATTTCAAACAATTTATAGAAAATCATCAGGTCAAAAATTGAAGTACAGCAGTCAACATTGTGTTATAATCTCAATCACTATAATAACAAACAAATATGTCAACAAAGAAAAACAAAATGAATTTAGAGATTATATGAAATTTTTTGGGGAAATAACTAAAAAATCTGTATAAACTTGATAGAATCAGTATACCCTTGATAGATCATAATTAAATTTTAACTTTTTTGTTATAAAATTAAGATACATGCCTTTTGTACACACATCAAAATGCATACAGGTATATATTAAAGTGTATTGCAAAAGGTATAAAATTTAAAATATTTTTATAAAGGGTGAAATACTGTAATTATTTTATAAGCTCCACCCTTGAAATATCTTCTTTGGTGATCTCTGCTCTTTTAAAATTAGATGCATTTTATGGAGCAAGTTTATTATTTTTTTATAGTTACTGAACTGCCCAAATTTTACTTACTACAGTTAAATATAAGTTGGTATCCACTGTGTTAAGATTTTAATCAATCAAAATTGCAATCATTACCATTAGTATTCAAATAAATTACATCCAATTTCATCTAAGAATAATATTGTAGAATCAGTATAATAAATTGAAACTAGATGTGTCGGAACAACGCAAATGGCCCCACTCGCATCAAAAGCTTGAAGCCATTTTTGGAGTGGAAATTTGAGAATGAAAGTCTGTATAATTGATATTTTCCCAAAGTTCAAAGCCCGTAATTTCGGCACAAATCAGTGGTGCAGAACCAGATATCGTTGTTTCTGCAAAAATCAGCAGAGCGGAACCAAAAATAAACTCAATCTGTAACTCATCATAGTTAACTCACATACTAAAAATCAGCTCAATATGTGAAGGTGTTTGGAAAAAAAGTCTGTATAACTGCTATTTTCATGAAATTTTCAAAGTCCAAAGCCTGTAGTTTCGGCAAAAATCAGCAGAGTGAAAACAGACGTGAACTGAATCTGTAACTCATCATAGTAGACTCACATACAAAATAAAATGCTTCGCTGAGCGCAGCCTGATACGACCGCAGAGGTTCGAACCCTGAACAGTTTTGGCAAATTTGGACACAATATTCAAGCTTGATACTGTCTGAATTTGGATTGTGATCAAATTTTTGACATAATATAGGTTTCTGACACAAAATAAATGTGGTCAAAGATCTTACAAATCTATTGCGCAATACTGTGCAATTGAAGATTTCTTCTTGAAACTTTTCAAAAATTCGAAATTTGAAAAATTTTGAAAAAAAAATATGAATCCCTTAAAAAAATTGGAAAAAAAAATATGAATCCCTTAAAAAAATTGGAAAAAAAATCCCCCCCCCCCCCAAATTTTTGAAACCCCCCTTGGAGCAATAACCCCAAACCTCAATCCCAGCCTTTCCTTTGTAGTATGGAACAATGTAGTACAATTTCAGAGAGATCCATACACTTAAACACAAGTTATTGTCGTGAAACTAGAAAAATGCTTGTTTTTGGCCCTTTTTAGGCCCCTAATTCCTACATGTTTGGGGCAATTAACCCCATACTCAATCACAGCCTTCCCTTTGTTATAAGGAACCTTGTGGTACAATGTCAGAGAGATCCATACACTTAGACACAAGTTATTGTCTGGTAACTAGAAAAATGCTTGTTTTTGGCCCCTTTTTGGCCCTTAATTCCTAAACTGTTGGCCCCATAACCCCTTAAATGAATCCCAACCTACTACTTGTGGTATTAAACATTGTGGTACAATTTCAGAGCAATCGAAATACTTATACACAAGTAATTATCCTGAAACTAGAAAAATGCTTGTTTTGGGCCCCTAATTCCTAAACGGTTGGGACCATCATCCCCAAAATCATCCCAACCTTCCTTTTGTGGTATTGAACCTTCTTAAAAAATTTCATAGAGATCCATTCACTTAAACTAAAGTAATTGTCCGGAAACCAATGTGTCTTCGGACGACGACGCAGACGACGACGACGATGACATGATAAGGGTAAAACTAAAACTATAACTTTCTGTAAAGGTACATTAGCAACTGTTTGCTTTATATTATCTGGGTGTGTATATAGATTTTTGGTTTTTTTTAGCAATTTATTTTTGACTATGTCAGTTTTCAATATGAATATTATAAAGTATGTAATTACAAATAAGACTATCCCTGAGGAAATTCCTATCACGAGACTACAACAGTTCTTTTTTACCATTCCACAATAAAAGTTCACACAACTCATGCCATATTTCAGTTCTCATCAAGGATCCGTAAATTTTTGCATACAATTTCGGTAATTTTGAGATGACTTGAAAGTTTAGGTCCTTTTCAAACTGTCCAAATCAATCGTAGATTCAAGGCAACAACTTCATGAAGTTTCTTACCATTTTTCTAAAAAGGTTTGATTTATAGAATGCAACAGTTAAAAACTGAAATGACTTTACTGACTTAAAACAGTAAATTTCTCATTGTTGGTAACTTTAAGAAAATTTTCAAGATGAAAAGCAACAATAAAAGTGATTTTTCTTGCCTACTTTCCAATGTATATTACCACTGACTGTGTTGTAGGTGCATTTATCCTTCTTTTGACAGTTGTCAGTGAAATACATATTGGTGGATGACTCCTAAAATTTCTTGACAAATTTAGACCGGAAATAGTCTACAATGAATCAAACCAACTTGTACTGATTGATTTTGACCTCTATGATATTAAAACAATCACTTGATGGATAACTTTACGGTGAATTTGATAGAAATAAGAGTTCAAACTTTTACCAAAAATACCTTACATCTGCATGTGTTCAACACTTTTACAATTTTTACCATCTATTTGGACCAATAATAAGGTTTTCCTGAATAAATCCACCCTCTATCTGTCCAATATCTACAGCTGGGTTCAAATTTTTACCTGAATAAATCCACCCTCTATCTATCCAATATTTACAGCTGGGTTCAAATTTTTACCTGAATAAATCCACCCTCTATCTGTCCAATATTTACAGCTGGGTTCAAACTTTTACCTGAATAAATCCAGCCCTCTATCTGTCCAATATCTACAGCTGGGTTCAAACTTTTACCTGAATAAATCCACCCTCTATCTGTCCAATATCTACAGCTGGGTTCAAACTTTTACCTGAATAAATCAACCCTCTATCTGTCCAATATCTACAGCTGGGTTCAAACTTTTACCTGAATAAATCCACCCTCTATCTGTCCAATATCTACAGCTGGGTTCAAACTTTTACCAAGATCCATAACAATGTCTGTCTTAATTAGCTGAAATATAAACATGAGTATTATTATTTTGAAAATGGGAGATTTACAATTCATATGTCAAAATCTTTTCAAAATCTCCATCTAGACTTCAGAGCATGCAGCATTATCCTCCTCCCAATCACAATAAATGTCCATACTGTAGACTTAAATGATCACCAAAGTACAAATTTTCTAAAGGCCTGTAAACAGACTTTGGCAAAACCACAAATTGCAAAACTGGTACCCACGAAAATAAATGAACCCATAGTAATTATAATTATTTCATTACAACATACCTGATGTTCTCCTGTTAGACAATCTATCTCCACTTCAGAACAAGCAGCATTATGTGTAAAGTACCATGTGTAGTCCCCGGTTCTTTTTCTAGCGTCAAAGCTTGTCTTCATTCCTGGTACCCTTATAAAGACAGCAAACAGCAGATACTAACAAACTATATACTCAACTTATAACTTTTTCTCTGACAGTGAGTGAAGAACTTGAGAAATGTTTATTCCGAAAACAAAGATCATAATGCTGCATTAAAGGCAAGATAAAATAAACAACAAAAACAACATGAATATAAAAATAAGGAGATGTGGTATGTTTGCCAATGAGACAACTATCCACCAAAGTTCAAGTGAAGTGCATGTATAACTATTTAATAAAGGCCAATGGAAAAATAAAATTGCAATAGAATTCAAAGTTTACCTTTTATTGATTTGATCACAGCACATATAATGAAAGGAACAAATTTCAGTCAACTTACTTTCATCAAGCATAGGACAATATTAATGATAATTCATTCTTATTTTACTCTTTTATTGTCCCGAGGTGGCAACAGAGGTGGATGTAAGATATTGTGTAAATTTAATATTGTACAAAATATTATACTACCAGCTGCTTAAAAAAAGATAAAAATGACATAAAAATTGCATCTTATTATATACTGACAATATCCTTCTTCCTGCATCAGAAATGTGCAAAATTGGGTGTATTTAAATTATCTAATGTTTGATCCAAACACGGGGGGGGGGGGGGGGGTCACTTCCTATATAAAGGTATACACAGATGGCCACTGTTATGGGTCACTTTTTAGGAATGTCATATATATCAATGAGGTGTAATTTCATGGAGGTAATATATCAATGGGTTGGAATTTATATGTCAATAGGTCATAAATGTTCATCTTCTATAAAGATGTATGTAAAACCTATGTTCCAACCTTTATATCTAATAATATGAATGATCACGTCTTACTAAGATGTCATGATAGCTGGGAAATATATACAAGTGGGATGTGATTTGCCTATGAAATATATGATTGGGCAATGAATTTTTCGGGTAAATCAATACATGAATGAGGGTGTTTTTGAAACCACAAGCCAGAAGTCTGTACCCAAATTTGTATGTTGAGACCCCCTCCTCCTCCCCCATGGAAACAAAAATATTTGGATTTTTTTTTTCTCATTTGAGATTAAGATAGCACTATAATAATAAATTGCAAATTCATCTTGATTTTAGGGCAAATAGCCCAAAAGCAATTTATTTGTTCTCCATAGCATTATCAATAGATAGACTATATACATGCCTGTAATATTGATGGTGCAGAATACTAAACCACTTGCAAGCACAAATTTAAAAATCAAAAGACCTGACAAAAAGTATATAAGCTGGAACAGTTTCACAAATATGTCTTACTTTTACAAACTGTTTACCTATATATTTTAGTCACTGCTTACGTTTTAAGCTTATTTCATGTTTGTCCATACATTTGTCTTTTTATTTTAATTTGTCTGGTTATTCACTGATAATCATGATTTTATTTTTAATTTTTACATTACTAGTCCTTATTAGTATGTTTTTGTTTTTGTTTTTTGTTTTTTAGGGATATGGGGTCATCTGAACCACCCTCCCCAGCCCCCTTATTGGCTTCAGGTGTGGGTTATTAAACTTACTTGTAATGGCCCATAACTGATAAACTGACTCGACTTGCAAATGCTGCTCCAACCTAGAGTAATAATATATCATTATGATAATATTTTCATACTTTCAAGTAAGAATGATTGTTATTACTGGAATTTATAATTTACAAATTAGGAAAATTAATTATGAGTAGCAAGTGATGATGCCATCAAAAATCTGAAATCTATCCATTAAAAAGACAGACAATAATCCTCAAATCACATTAACATGTACTTTGTTTTCAGAAAATATTATTTCAAAATATATACTTAGAATAATGAAGTCAAATGAACCTCTCAAAATATGTCTGTTTTAAAAATTATGATTAACCAGCATGTTTATGCTAGGAATTTGTTAACAAGTATGCACATGATGAAATGTCTCATTTGCTTTACTGGCCATAATTCAATAGGGTCAAGGTCAAATGAACACTGCCAGACTGACATGTACACCTCATAATCATTCCTCACATTAAATAAATAATGCTTATAGTATCTGAGAAAACAACTGTTCCAGGAAAACTTAATGTTGACCAATGAATCATAAAAATGAGGTCAAGGTCAGAAAAAAACCTGCAAGACATACTTCTACACCTTAGAATAATTCCGTAAACCAAATAGAGTTAAACTATTATAATAACTACCTAAGAAACAGACCAAAATACGACAAGAGTGCACACGCTGAAATGTCTCGCCTACTATACTGATCATTGATTTTATGTTGATAGTCCTACATATAAAGTTTTACTACAAGTATCACATTAACATTTATGATCCAAGAAAATGAGGTCAAGGACAGATAAACCAAGCCAGAAATACATGTACGACTTTAATACAATCCCTCCATACACAGAATATAGATGACCTATTGCTTATAGTATAAAAGAAACAGACCAAACCATGAAAATGAAGTCAAGGTCATTTGAACCTGCCAGACAGACATGTACACATTAAAATCATTCCAAATATAGTTGACCTATTGCTTAAGGTATCTAAGATAAAAAGTTAACCAGGAAAACTGAACATTGACCAATCAACCATGAAAATGAGGTAAAGGTCAGATGATACCTACCAGACAGACATATACACCTTACAATCATTCCATACACCAAATATAGTTGACCTATTGCTTAAAGTGTAAGAAAAACAGACCAAAACACAAAAACTTAACATAAGCAATGAACCATGAAAATGAGGTACATTGTAAAATATTTCCATACACCAAATATAGTTGACCTTCTGCATACAGTATTAGAAAAACAGACCAAAACACAAAAACTTAGCATTGATCAATGAACCGTGAAAATGAGGTCAAGTTCAAATAAAACTTGCCAGACTGACATGAACATTGTAAAATATTTCCATACACCAAATACAGTTGACCTATTGCATACAGTATTAGAAAAACAGACCAAAACACAAAACCTAAACTATGACCATTGAACCATGAAAATGAGGTCAAGGTCAGATGACACCTGCCAGTTGGACATGTACACCTTACTATCATTACATACACCAAATATAGTAGACCTATTGCTTATAGTATCTCAGATATGGACTTGACCACGTAAACTTAACCTTGTTCACTGATCCATGAAATGTAGTCGAGGTCTAGCGAAAACTGTCTGACGGGCATGAGCACCTTGCAAGGTACGCACATACCAAATATAGTTATCCTATTACTTATAATAAGAGAGAATTTAACATTCCAAAAAATCTGAACTTTTTTTTCAAGTAGTCACTGAACCATGAAAATGAGGTCAAGGACATTGGACATGTGACTGACGGAAACTTCGTAACACGAGGCATCTATATACAGAGTATGAAGCATCCAGGTCTTCTACCTTCTAAAATACAAAGCTTTTAAGAAGTTAGCTAACGCCGCCGCCGCTGGATCACTATCCCTATGTCGAGCTTTCTGCGACAAAAGTCGCAGGCTCGACAAAAACTAAACATTGACCAATGAACCATGAAAATGAGGTCAAGGTCCAATGCATCCTGCCAGACAGACTGTTAACCTTACAATCAATCAACAAAATAAATATAGTTTTCATGTAGCTTATAGTATCTGACAAAAAGGTTCCAACCATGAAAACTTAGCCTTATCATTGAAATATAGAAATAAGGTCAAGTTCACATGGACAAGCCAGGGTGGACAAGTACACCTTAAAATCATTACAAGCACCAAAAATATTTGACCTATTGCTTAAAGTTTCAAAGATATGGACCTGATCACTAAACCTTAACCTTCATCGCAATCAATAAAACAAGGTCAGGGTCATTTAACCTTGCAAGGATCCAATATACCAGATGTACTTATCATATTACTTATAATAAGTGAGCAATTCATGCAATAAAAAAACTACACAGTTTTTTAAGCAGTCATTAAACCATGAAAATTTTGTCAAGAACAAAGGATATGAGAAGATGAAAACTTCTCTACTCAAGGTATCTGTAAATTATCAAGGTAAGAAATATCTAGGTCTTCTACTTTCTACAAGATAAAGCTTCATACAAATAGTTTATGCCATCTCCAGATACTTAGCATCCCTATATCTCACATTCACCAATTTTTGTTGCAGGCAAATAAAAAATAATAAAATAGTGAACTAACTTTTGAAGAAAAAAAAGAAACAAAAAAACAAAGCCCTTCATTACACAAAACAATTAAAACTTACCACTGGAAATTCATAGAGAAAATTTTTGTCATTATTAAGAATGATTTATTTAAACCCTAACACATCTTTTTTATATTTCTGGCAGCAAACAATCAATAACTTCTTATTCATTAAACATTTCAAAAATTAAATATTGGAAGTTTATAAATATAAATAGACAAATTGGAACTAATTATCTACCCACCCAGTCTTTAAAAGTACCATCAGGAATGGCTTCTCTAAATGGTTTCAGTCTTTCCATCAGTGTTTCACATGCTACCTATAACATGACAAAATGCTTTTAGTTGTATATAATAATATTGGAAACCCTGTTCGTGGCAGGTGGTTTGGACTAAGATCATAACTGACTAAGATTGTTAGTTTTCCTCCTTCTTCCACCACTAATCCCAATGATATAGCCATAGTGTTGACAGTGGTGTTAAGGAGAATCAATCAATCAATCAATCAATATAATGTATTTCAATTAGAGGCTCTAAAGGAGCCTGTATGATTCACCTCATATTTTTGCATAAAATTGATACAATGCAAAAAGAATATCTAGGTGGAATGCATATTTGGAAACTGTGTAGATCAAAATCTTGTCTAGCCATTTATGCCAGACAGATTTTTTGTCCATTTCAGTTTTCAAGGATAATGGGCAAAAATGTAAAAAGGTTAATATTGTACCACTTCAATCATTTGACTTATCTGTAGATCTTGTGTTGTTGATCATTATTGCTGTTAAAATTTTATAGTTTTCAAGATATTAGGTAAAAACACTGAAATTAGTTAAAATTCATTTTTTTAAGGACAACTCCTACCAGGCGTCATCTGATAATTATTTAGGCTATTAGTAGAACGTAATTTTCTCATCATTTTTACTGTTTAAACTGCTTACAGTTTCTTTTTATCTTCTGGAGTTTGCACCAAAATGACAAATATGGGTAAAAAAATCTTCATTAAAGGGCAATAACTCCTATAACAGTTCAACTTACCACCATTTGAACCATGTTGACTAATTTGTATATCTCTACTTGTTGGTCATTTTTGCAATTTAAAGTGTTTTCTTTCTACTTTAGTTTTAACAGTGAAAATTATGCTATTGATGATTTTAATAATAACAAATTAGAAAATTACATCATGTCTAACAGACAAAGGATAAATCTCCTACCTTTGTAGCCCCACCATTTATATCTGCCACAAAACTGCCACCAGAATCTGAAGTATTTGGCACGGTTGAGGAGGATGTTTCCCCAATCAGTATATCTGTGATAGGTATCTCCAGGACTGTAGCAGCAATCTGTTGGACTTTGGTATTGACACCTTGTCCCATTTCTATTCCTCCGTGGGTAAGTAAAACTGTTCCATCAAGATAGGCATGCAACAAAGCATATCCCTATATATAGTAGACAAATATTTTAAAACGTTCCAATTCTTCATTTTTGAAGCATATCTTTTCTGTGTTCTGGAACTATACTAATATAATTTTGTAGTTATGTATAAATTATAAAGCAATGGGCAGTTTTCAGCAACTTGATTAATTCATCACGCAAATTCAATTCTTATTCCATTTCATACTTTTTATTTTATAAACAGCAGGACCATGCTTAAACAGCTATGAGAGCCAGACATGCTTGTCTTTCTATATTTTTGTCCATAAGTATCCCAACTGAAAAACAACAACTCTGAAGGATAGTCACATACTGTTGTTCATGACATTGTTATAAGTTTCATGACATTGTGCATGACACAAAAGAAAGGCTGCTGTAATATATTTAGTGAAAATGTGCCATAACTCTAGGACAATTTGACAAATCATGAAAATAAAGGTGGATTTAATACTTGCTCACTTCAACATTGTGCAGAAATATGTTCAGAAAATTTTGAGCCCAAATTTACTTGTCCATGCATATCTATAATCTGAGAGCATATTTATTAAAAAGTATACCTAATGAAGGTTTTCAGAAAACTAGATTGCTAATTTTAGTAGTAGGTTGAACTTCAGTAATGTCATGTTTCACTTCAAGACTTTAAATATGGGTTAAAATTTATCATAAAGATAGGTTATACATGTACAATTCAGGATATAGATGGTTCTAATGATTAGTTATAGTTAGTTATACATATATATGTTTAATATTTAGAGACCTTTGAAACTTAAATTTTTTGTTCATTATATAGGGGTAATGAATAAGTGGTATGACACCTTTAGACTATATATGATAATTTATTGTGTGAGGTGTATTATTATGATAAAGCAAAACATCTTAGGGTGTCTTCTTTTCTACTTTGTAATAAAGTTTTAAAATGTTGGCAACCTTTAGGTTAATAATGAAATACATTACCTGTAACATTAGATGAGCAGGATAACCTAAATTGAAAACATTGGGTGTCATAGCAATACCACGCTTTTTCCATCTGTTCTCCCTATAAAGAATGAATAACACAAACACTTTGTTAGTAATAAACAACTGAATTGATTACTTTTATAGAGCTGGATAGATAGTCCACATAATAATGACGTCTTGAAAGGCTACTCTAATTTTTTTCTTTGACGGCTTCCTACGACGTCATAATGCTGAGGCCATTTTTTTCGTCTGGACTTTGAGAGGGAATTTTTGGGCGGAACTTTGAGACCCAATTTTGCCATGAAATCTTTATTGACGGCTAGAAATTTTTGCATAGAAGTCTTACCTTTTATGTGCTTGTTGGTGCAAAATATTTCCAGAGATATCTAAAAGTAATGATAAAATAAGTTATGATTCCACTTGAGGTGTGCAATCATCTACTTTGATATCAAAATGGTTTCCCTGATTACCAAGGATTCTTCACTTCCGGAGAGTATAAAATAACAAACATGGTAAAATTTGGCAGACTAAAATTTCTGGAACGTTCAATTTATATCATCCGGAAATCCGGGGTTTGTTATCTATTTCTAACCTTCAATAAAGTTTTCATGGCAAAATTGGGTCTCAAAATTCCACCAAAGGAAGGTGTCACAGAAAAATATTAAAATAAGCCTTTCAAGACGTCATAATTATCTAGATTAGTGGATAGAATGATTAATTCTATTTACAAAGTCAATGTTAATACAATGCATTATATATTGTCTGCATAGTGTGTGTGTGTGTGTGTGGGTCAGTAACTTGTATCCAAAAGATCTAAATACATTCACTAATTTATTTTTAAGACACATTTTACTGTTTTGCTTATTTAACTAAACAAGCTTTCATTACGATGTTGTCATTGATAAGGTTATCTAGGATAAACCTTATATTTACCGTGTATTATCTATACTACTAAAATAATGAGGTCCAATTTGTTAGCTGGCATGACGTAAAAAAGACGAATCAAAGAATTCAACGTTATATATAACTAATAAAGGACAATGGTGTTGATTAAAAATTACACCATTCCAGGCCCTTTTGTTTTCCACATAATTAATATAACCAATAATTAACAAGTTACGGGTTGAAACCGATACCGATATCAATAGTATATGTCACATGTAGTTTCCGATTGTAGTTCTTTATTCTTCCCTCCTGTGACTATTTGGAGTACCACTACTATATTGTAGTGAGAAAACCATGACAGGTTCAAACAGAAAGATTTTGAAAGCAGAGAAAAATGTACACCTTATAATCAGCATGACTTTATCAAATGACAATACGAATACTAAAAATAAGGCGTAGGTCCTTTAATTCAATCACAGACCCGCAACATGTTTCGGGTGTGTTCTAGTGTAATACAAAAGTAAGAAGATATGGTATGATTGTAAATGATACAACTCTGCACCAGAGACCAAATAATGTAGACACAGCAATTTATCAGAAAATATTACTAACGACTGCATCAGGAGTATTTGTAGGTGGAGTCACAATTAAAAGAATGGATCTGTTCAGAAATTAATCGTCCATCCTTGTACATCATGTGTGCTGTCTCCATGTTCTTGCAAATGACATCTGAACCAATTTGTGTTACACAGTCTTTATTATTCAGTAAATATTATTTGAATTATCATACCTGGCAACTTGTGAAAATCTTCATTGGGGGTTTTGTGCATGAGGCCATAAAAAGTAAAAATTGGTGGGAGCATACAAGCTTTTCTTTCTTTTTTTAATTGCACTAATCTTGTACTTTTTTTATTATGAGAAAAATTATTAGAAGACAAGCAAGGTTTTTCCTATAGTTGCTTGTCTTCTAATTATTTTTCACATAATAAAAAAAATACTAGATTAGTGCAATTAAAATAAAGAAAGAAAAGTTTATATGAAATATAATATTTATAGTAATAACTGAATTCGTCTTCTCCTTATATAAATGTTGACTCAGAGTTGAGCATCATTGATTGCTTTTTATTGTAACAATGTCTATGCTTCTTCATTTTATATTTTTTATATCCCCTTTGGTGTTTTTCTAACTTTTCTAAAATCCTTATGATGATGTCTTTACCAACCTGTTGAATTTTTCTATTTCTTTCACTCTGGTGTCATAGTCTGCTTGTTGTTTGCACCGATTCCAGCATTGATGTAAAAATATCCCTTCTAACTTCATATTGGCTAAAATAGTATCACCTTCATTTACAAAATTTAACTCCTTCACCTTTAAAAAAATAGTAAGAAAGTAGTAAGAACAATGATAGGAAAGTTTGTGACAGGTTTACTAAAACCAAACATTGGTTTAGGAGTCAACAATGGAACAATGAGAGGAAAGTTTGTGACAGGTTCACTGAAACCAAACATTGGTTTAGGAGTCAACAACGCAAGATTTCTACCTTCTTTTGCTGATCATACTGATAGGACCAAATCCATCTTATGATAATTTTTCCATGATTCTAGATCTTAAGGCAACAGAATAGTTGTCTGATCTGAAGATTTAGACATGGTCTAATCTCCTATCATAACATTTTTGACTAAGCCTTGATTTGCATGGAGACTGAAATTGAGGATATGCTTTATAATCTGTCTACAAACCCACAAATCATCAAACAGAGAAATTCTGACTCTTCAATGGTATCTGATAATAGACACATCCAAAAGAATACTTCAATTAAGTCCATTTGAAGGATTTTATACCTGACAACTTACAAGATTTATGTGTGATATCCAACTTTCACCACTTGTACAACCTTCAAAATAATGTTGGTAAAAATAGTCCCGACTCCTAAATCACAATTTTTAGAAATTTTGCATAAAACTGTTTATTTTTTACTTTAGCTTGATCTCAATTGGAGATAATCACAATTGTTGACTATTATCCTTACAAACTCTTTTTTTTGGTTATCATTGACATTTTCAATCTAAACATATCTGATATCAAGCTTTAGTCTTTTTTCCATGTTTATATAATTTACCTTATCTACTGAAAGTCCAAGCTTGAAACTGATGGCTCTCATTATATTCTCCATGTAAAATAACTTCTGTGGGTGTCCAAAACCTCTAAAAGCAGTACCTGATGGGGTGTTTGTCCGACACAAAATACCTTTTATCTTGGCCGTAGGTATTTTGTAGGGAGAATTGTATGGTAAGGCACAACTCAACACCTTCAATAATACAATAATAACATTAACAATTATGTGTCTACTAAGATGCTAAAGAGATTTAATTTTGAATTCTAAACATGAAAGCCTTCGGAACTATACTGTATGGGGTTTTATCATTGTTGAGGGATGTCAGTTGGCCTAAATTCGCATACTACTTCTTCATTTGAACTAAAAAAATTAACCATAGAAATTGGAGAAGTAAAATATTTTTACCTTTGAGCAAACAATGGAAGAGTTTGCTTCTCCCAAATATCATTCAGTCTTACTTATGTGTAACCTGATAATCAGATAGGACAATGGTGAGGTTGCTTCCAATAAACCTACCACTAATGTCACTTCCTATATAATTAATTCATTTTATTACACCAGACAGTTCAACTGCTTGATTAAAGCTTTTTTTTATCATTAAGCCACCACCAATGGGAGAAAACAATTTACAGAGGAGACTTAGACAAATATCTATTTAATATAAGAAAACAAATATGTAACAAAGGAGATGGTCCGGTAAGGGCTAATTTTGGCCTAAAATTTGAAGTTCATCTGATTATTCTACTTTCCAATAAATAGCTAAAGCTTAAATTTTTATCAAATTTTTAAAACGCAGTTTTGGGGCCAAAAAGGGGTCTTACCGGGCCTACTCTTTTCAAAAACAACCATTTACATACAAATGTCCTCTTTTAAAGAAAGCTTAGTCAGACAGTCGAACTGTCATCCTCCTTTATTACACTCCACATAAAACAGGAGATCTCCCTATTACAAAATATTTTGGAAGGATGTTTATCATTGAATAGAAAAGAAAGGATATGGTGTATCAATCCATTTTCATTATGTTTATAATTATATAATTTTACTTCTTACAAAATAACTCAGGCCAAGATTCCAACCAGCATTTAAATAAACTGTCAGCTCTAATCCAAGTAACTTTCCTTCTTTTGTAACTGCAGCCTGAAAAGTAAAAGTATAGTATGAAATTAATACTGTGTAACATACAGATGGGATATCCTAGGTACTTTATTCATATGATTTGCACCACATGACTTTGGCCCTTTTGATTAAATTACTTCCCTTAGTTGTAAATTGAAAATATAAATTATATCAAATTTGAGAATAATCCCGTCTTCCTTCGTCTTGGATCTAAAACTAACGTGTCTTTGATAACTTCCTTTGGCAGATATTTACAAATACGCTGTGTAATTCTAAAGAAAAATGCTTAAAATTTGACAATTCTTAAATTGGAAAGGATGAAATTATCACAATTTTAAAAGAATTTGACAAAACTTAAGAAAGCAGACAAGATAAAAGTTATTTAACCTGAACATTCAACCTGCAAGGTATTTCCCTATATGCGGACAAATCATGACTAATTTCTTCTTGTATCTTTATTTTTTTATTTTGAATCTTGCTATATTACGATTTTTCTTTATTTTATATAGTAATTATACTATGGTTACCCGTCTGATTTTCAAACTAAAAAGGCAGAAAGTTTTCAAAGTAGACAATTTTTATTTGAACGCAAAAAGAAGGCAAAAAACATGTACAATTCACCTATATGCGGACAAATTGTTGATTCCACTTAGGAATTGGCATAATTGCATGTTTATTTTAGGGACATGTATAATCCCATTGTAATGGCTGTAGTCATGATAAGGCAATTATATAATGGCCGCTAGGCAAATTAGCAAAGTACCTCAAATTTTTCCATATGGACTTTCTTCCACTGATTTATTTTTCATGCATAGTTTGCATAATGTTAATTTTATCGTTGAATAAGACAATGTCATTAATAGACAAACAATCTTCACTGACCCTTTATATTCCTATAGAAATATCTTGTTGTCACATGTAATGAAAAACAATGAAAGACAAACAACCGTCTACAAAACACTATATAAATAAATGTGGATAGCGTCCACATGTGGACACAGATGATGCCCCCGCTTGCATATCATATAGTTATAAAGGGACATAACTGAAGAACGGTAAAAGTGATGCTACCCAAATTTGAACTTGATCGGAGTTTTGTGGTAATAAGCATTGTGTGTAAGTCTCATAACATTTGGTTGAGGCTAACTTAAGTATAGAACAGAAACTAAAAATTCAGCAATTTTTCTATTTGTAAACACGCACAACTCTAGAACAGTTGTGTATAAGTTTTATAACATTTGGTTGAGACAAACTAAAGTTAGAGAACGGAAACGAAAAATTCAGCAATTTTTATGTTTATAAAGGGACATAACTCAAGAATGGTAAAAGTGTCGCCACCAAATTTCGTACTTAATCTGTATTATGTAGTAATAAGCATTGTGTATAAGTTTTATAACATTTGGTTGAGGCAAACTAAAGTTAGAAAACAGAAACAAACAATTTGTACTTGATCTTAGTGTTGTGGTAATGAATATTGTGTATAGGTTTCATAATGTTTGGTTGGGGCAAACTTAAGTTACAGAATGTAAACTAAAAATTTTGCAATCTTCCGATATATAAAGGGGCATAACTCAATAATGGTTGAAGTGACACTACCCAAATTCAACTTGATCTGTATTTTATCAGTGGAAGTCAAAATTAAACATTGCATTGTATAAAGCATTGATTGTAGTTGATTCAACTATTATCATGGACAAAGGAAGATAACTCTAATATTAAAAATTACTTGATATTTAGAATAAAATAAAAATTTGGCAATTTTTCCATTTATAAAAGGGCATAACTCTAGAATGGTTAAAGTGACGCCACCAAAATTCAAACTTGAGCTGTGTTTTGTGGTAATAAGCATTGTGTAGAAGTTTCATAACACTTGGTTGAGGCAAACTTAAGTTAGAGAACGGAAACTAAACATTTTGCAATTTTTCCATTTATAAAGATGCATAACTCTAGAATGGTTAAAGTGACGTCACCAAAATTCAAACTTGATCTGTGTTTTGTGGTAATAAGCATTGTGTATAAGTTTCATATCATTTGGTTGCGGCAAACTTAAGTTAGAGAACGGAAACTAAAAATTTTGTAATTTTTCCATTTATAAAGGGGCATAACTCTAGAACGGTAAAAGTGACGCCACCAAAATTCAAACTTGATCTGTGTTTTGTGGTAATAAGCATTGTGTATAAGTTTCATTACATTTGGTTGAGGCAAACTCAAGTTAGAGAAAGGAAACCAATTTTGGGACGTACGTACAGACGGACAAGGGTAAAACTTAATACCCCCACCGCTACGGCGGGGACATAAAAATTAAAAACTGAGCAACATGAACTCCACTAAAAACCAAGGTAATATCAGGTGCCTAGGAAGGGTAAGACTTGTGGCACCCATCGTGTTGCTCATGGTAAGTACAAATTCAGTGTTCAGTCCCATTAGTTCAGTCCCATTAGGTGATGTCATAATCGTGATAAAAAGAAGAGGAGAATGGCTACAACAACTGGAACATATCCATGTTCAACTGCAATAAAGGAATTCTATAATGGTCAACCAACTCATGATGGCACCTGTAAAACTTCCAAAGGGAACACTTCAACTTGAACACGTAAATGTTCTTGATCCAAACGAAATCATAGAGTAAAACTTCCAAAATCATAGAAAATCATAGAAACAACTCATCCTTATACAACTGTTTTGAGGAACATATCAACCTATCTCAATTATCCATTTTTACTTCAGCACTTCAGCAGTTCATGAGAAAATGTTAAAAATGTACACAATGGATCTGCATTGATGTCAAATAATCACATGACTGCTAGACCAGTGTTCTATAGAGTTTTAAAGTGTAGGTCTCCCTTCATCTTGTACAAATTCCTACCTTAAAACTTGTCTTTACTGGGTGTCTTTTTCCTGTTGTTCTCATATCAACAGCTCTGTCAAACACAATTCTAACCGGTCGCTTTGTTCTAAAATATTTATGATAAGAATAATAATATTTGAAAGAATTGAACTGATATTTATACCAATTATTTTAAAAATAGAATCATGAGGATATAGTTCCTACCTTCATGACTTTAAATTTTATAGTTCTCTTTCTGGAAAGTATCATATCTAAATTTTTTAAATGAAAGTCACATATTTTTTATAATTTGATACAAAGATGAAAACACCTTAATTTGATGATTACTTTTAACAGTTCAAGTATCAACTTTATTGAGGTTTAATTAAAATCAAGGGCATCAAAAAGGATTGAGCATCCCTTAAAATCCCACATAATTAAATATAAATAAAAGGAGATATGAGGGTCTGGAAGGAGGGGTCCTTCATTTCTGTATTCTTTAATATTTTAAGCCAATTTTCTTTATTTTTTTTTTATTTTTTTACCATTATCATGATTATTCTCTATTTTTTATTTTTTTGGTCCATTTTTCTCTATTCTTTATATTTTTTGCCCATTATTCTCTATTCTGTAAACCCACCCACACCCTCAGATATGGAGTAAACAATGAAAAAAAGATTTAATGCTATAAAATGTATGTATGTAGGAACCAATATGTAATTTTTATGAAAACAACTGAAAACTGGATGAATGGTGCATAGAAATGTTATTCTCATACCTCCTTTGAATACCTTGAACTCTGACTTATTACATTTTAGTAAAAGTCAAAATCTCTCAAACGATGCATGAGCATTATACAATGTTTTATGAAGATTAGATTTTGCCCTTGAATTCTATGGTGCCTTCAAAATTTTTTTTCTAAGGTCATGGTGTGATCATGACATTTGACCATATGAAATTAAATAAGGTCTTTTCTTTGTCAAGCATCAGCAAATGTTCAATGAACACTAAATAAATCAAAGCCTTAAAGGCTGTTAAAGCAATTGCTGCCTAGTTAATGTTTTTGTCACTTTTATTTTTCATCCACATGTAAAAGAATTAAACCTGACAGGAGTCTTCTCTAGTGAGAAGTAAGGATGTTTTAACTTTTATATCAATAAAAGACTTATCCAGCAGAAAGTCATTTTTACAATGTTTTACATTTCTCAGGGGGATTTCTCAGGGGGACGACACGTTTACCCGGCTTATGGTGAAGGCAAATATATGTGCGGAAACGTATAACCCCGAAGAAATCATAATAGATAATCCCCTTGTAGAGTGTTTATTACTGGGCAATAATTTACATGACAATCCATGCACCTGGCTTCATTATCTTTATTGCTTTAATTTTAATTTTAATTATATCATAATTGGTTTAACCATGCAGTTGATGATTTCAACTTTCGTGACGCGAGTGTTCTACTGAAGTATAGTTTTTAAAAATAAGAATCATTCATTCATACATACCGATTAAAGATTTTGAAGATGGAAATTTTCATGAAATGCACGTTAACTGTCGATTAACCTGGGAACTGGCTTTCACTTTACCCCTTTCATCACTAAGGACAGGGTTTTTTAATTTGTTGGTTTACAGATTTTTCAGTGGGGGAAAAAAAAGATAAAAAATATCTTACAAGACATAAATGTGTAAAAAATAAATATATATTTCAGCTTACTAACAATATTTTTGATATGCTACTTTGTCATCATTTCTAAAATCTTAGTCCCAATCATTATTGCTCAGCCGTTTTAATCATAAAATATGTGCTATCGTCATATAATTTCGAAAAAAGGGGGGTATCACGGACAAACATGAAATTAATCATCATTTCACTAACAAGAAAAAACAGCTCCACGTTGCTTTTCATCAACTTTCAGGAAACATGGTGAATAATGATCTTCAAGCACGAAAACATGTGAAATAAAATTGCAAACAAATCGTACGAAAAAACAGCCTCTATCAGCCATGCCAAAAAGAAGTAGACTTGTCCGCTAGAAAGACGAGGATATCGGTTTCATCATTTGTCATGCATTCCTGTTTTTGATATCCAAATGGACGAACTTTTTTTTTTCAATCTATAAAACAAGAAAATTCCAAATTGTTGGTGTCTTTCACGTTTGGACGGGTCCATTTCATCTATAAGATGATAAATCTTACCGAATTATGACAAAAAAGGAAAACAAACTTATTGTAATGTGTTTCTAAGTTTTAGTGCGCAAACAACATTTCAAGGTCAGTTATGATTGTCTTTTTTTAGATACGTAAACCTAAAGAATTTCCTAGAGGGTCATTATGACATTGGACACTGTCATTATATCAATTGTTTACAGAGTGGAGTCTATCAGTCAGTTTCAACAGCAATTAAGGAAACCCTTAAAAAATAACAGGGCCCGTAATTTCAAGGAAATATTAAAAACATGGTAAGTGTAATCAGAACGCGTAAACTGTGCTACTTTTAATTTCAAACAAATAATGTGAGATATAACGTGCGTTGTGATTTTACGATAATTTTATGAATGAACTATAATTTTATGAAGGAACAAGAGCAACTTGACCTCTTTCAAAAAGAAACATGAATGAAACAACATAAAACCGTATATGAGATAATTCAGTCAAATTTTCAATATCAAATCAACAACTGACATGATTCAATATTTTGTTGAAACATCTGAAGAACGAAATCACAGGTATAAAAATGTACTTTTTCACTCTGACTTCTATGTTATTTGATAGTCAAACGGTTAAATACAAAAATACATCTACAAGAACATATGTTGAAACTTCACAAACCAACTAATGTTTTTCAACTGTTTCGATTAATGTATTTCATTAGAAAACACACAGGATTTTTAGAATGACAGACGAGGAATCTGCTCAAAAATCTTAGGCTTGATCTGGGTCACAAAGATGGCTATATGCCATAGCATGAGAGCAATTGCTTTAAAAAGTGGTGCACTACAGTGCAACAATATTTTTATGCACAATTATCAGAGGATTGGAGTTATATGAAAACACCTGTAAAAAAGAACTAACTTAAATCATCTAAAGACAGAATGACTTCATCTACAGCAATACCATAGTGAACTTTATCAAAACAGAATCCTTAATATTGTAACCACTTTTCAAACCTTTTTCCTATATTGTCTTTGAACAAATTACCCGGTAACTCAAAATTGAAAAAAAGTATGAATGAAGGTAATGTTAGTGGATATATATCTTAAATGGGAATATGATGAGATGATTCCAGCTAAAGTTTAAAAGGTTATTCTACCATTTTCTAATAAATTATTAGAAGATCCACTAGCAGCCATTTTTGTTATTGTAGCATATATGAAGCATAAAAGAACATTACTTCAAACTTTGACCCTAAAAGTTCTGCAAATTCAGAGAGGATTTTAATTCTTGAGATTTATCAATAATATAGTTTGCATTCTATCATTATCAATAGTTTTGATGAATTTAAAAATGTTACCGAAACAAGAGGAAAGATGGCTAACTTGATAAAATGAAAATGAGTGGAAAATATTTCACTGCCTAAAACAAAATGCATTTAACATAAACATAACAGATTTACAAACTGTTTAACTAAGGACTGCTGTTAGAAACATTGCTGAAGAGATTTACTGTGGATTCATTTACTTTCGTGGATACCAATTTATGTGGAATGAGGAAAACTTTTATTTTCGTGGATATTCGATTTTATGGTTTTGCCAACGTAGGCATACTAGCCTATGGAAAATTTGTATTTTGCCTCTACCCAGGAATTCTACGAAAATAGGTATCCCACAAATAATAATGAATCCACAGTAATCTATTTCATCAAACAATTTCTAAAGGAAACTTACTTCCATGCGGCAACAGCTGCTACACCTGATGGCATCAAGGCATCACTACTTTTCCCTCCAAAAGCTCCTCCTTCAAACATAAACTCACATTATTTAAATAAGTACAAATGAAGTTGTAACAATATTTAATTGATCCTTTCTGATAGTATTTTTGTTTTGTTTATAAATGATGTACTAAAGCTTAAGTCTTGCACTTAAACTAGAGCTAGAACTCCAACAAGCTTAAGTATAAATTTGGCTGTTATGTCTAAGCCCTTTTGGTTTTTGTTTGCTCAGAAGTGTTTATGTTATTGACTTCACAAATTTTGGTATCCAGCATACCTAGCAGGGAATATTCATGACCACAGATATTTCACATGTCATGCATGTGTTATGAAAACCGTATCATACATTTATATGCACCTAAATCTAACAATCACCTAGTACATACAATCATCTAGACCATACATTTATCTAGTCCATACAATCACCAAGACCATACAATCACCTAGTCCATACAATCATCTAAACCACACAATCACCCAGTCCATACAATAACCTAGACCATACAATCACATAGTCTTTAAGCCATCTAGACCATACAATCACCTAGACCATACCATAACCTATTCTATACAGCCATCTAGACCATACAATCATCTAGACCATACAATCACCTAGAACATACAATCACATAGTCCATACAATCATCTAGACCATACAATCATCTGGACAATACATCTACCTAGACAATACATCTACCTAGACAATACAATCACCTAGTCTATACAGCCATCTAGATCATACAGCAACCTAGACCATACAATCACCTAGTCCATACAATCATCTAGACCACACAATCACCTAGGCCTAGTCCATACAATCACCTAGACCATACAATCATCTAGACCATACAATCACCTAGACCATACAGCCACCTAGTCCATACAGTCATCTAGTCTATACAATCACCTAGACCATACAATGACCTAGTCCATACAATCATCTAGACCATACAATCACCTAGATCATACTGCAACCTAGACCATACCCTCATGAACCATAATTTCTGAATATTAGCTGAATGAGGCTGAAATTTTCTGAATTTTGGCTGAAATGTGTCTTAGAACAAATCAGGTGTCTGAATCCTGTCTGACCTGTTTATTGATGGTGACTGAATATTGTCTTATAGCTCTGAATTTTGTCTTAATACTTCTTATTTAGTCAGAAAAAGTTTCAGACATATTCAGAACTTCTGAATACTGTCTTATTTGTCTGAATTATTAAGAAAAAAGGTAAGATCAATTCAGAAACCAACCATTAAATTAAATACACCCCTAAATATCTGAATATTGTCTGAATTATTCTTAATCATTCAGAAGTTATGTCAGACAAAATTCAGAAAACTGCGAATAAGAAAATTATAATCTTATAGATCTGAATATTGTCTGAATTTTTCTAAATCATTCAGAAGTTGTGTCAGACAATCGACTCCCACTCAGGGGTCCCCAAATGTAATCATGTCCACAGGTACCTGTGAAATCTACAATAAACAATAATCAGCTGGCTTTCTGTTTGAAGTTTTCTCACTACTCTATTAATAATGTTTTGATTGATAATCACATTAAAACCTGAGATCTGAAGACCTATGTTATATTAAAAGATATTGACCCTGGAGATCTTGCCAGGCATCAATGTGTCTTGGTGTTGAAGTATTTATAGAATTTCAAAATTTGAAAAGGGTAAGGATACTTACGTTGACATTATTTGCGACATGTTCGATATCCTATCTGTTTTTGCTGGTGCACTGCCAGTGTTAGTTTTATCAGTAGAAAAAGTTTTCTGAATCTCTCTCCAAGTTCTCAAATATGCCTTACTTTATTGCATTTCGGCATAAAAAAGAACTAAGAAAAATATCAGATTAGTCAATCGTTGTTGTAAACTAAACAATGCAGTGTTATTTACAAGCATTGACAATACAGTCAGTTATGTTGGGAGTTAAAACGTCGACATGATCTGATAAGCTGGTCCCCTGCTGGCTACTACACTATATGTTCCTTGAAAGTAGGCTATTACAAGTGGGTACCAGTTTAATAATGTGAAACCTTTCTGAACCGGAAACGCTTAACAAATTACGTCAGCAAAACACTATATAGGCGCCCGAAATACGATTTGTGAAATGAAGGCTTTTTTTTATCAGATAAGTATATTACAGTTTGAACTGAAATGTTTATTGCTATTTTTTTAATCAAATTTGAAGATATAAGTTTATTGAGACAAACTAAAAATACTATTTTTGAGCAAGTCAAGCCCAAAAAAAAATGAAAATAAAGAAAATCCTTGAAATTGTGTATTGAACTTGTGCATATCATTAAGCATTGACCATTCAACTAACTCATAGAAAATCAGAGGAGGAAGGGGGTCCTTGTTTGTTTAGGAACCAGCTGTTTTCATTGGTGGATCCAAAAGGGGGGGGGGGGGGGGGGGGGTCTGGGGGGCCCGGTCCCCCCTTTCATGGGAAAAATTTGGTTGATTATATAGGGAAATAGGGAATCACTGAGGCATGACTGGAGCATATGAAAAGTTTTGAATCAGCCACTGGTTTTTTACTTGAAGTTGAAGGGAAAAAAGGGGGTGACATGCTTTTTCGCGTTTTGGAATGTGAGATATAGATAGGCATCATAGGGGTTAATATGGGACTAAAAGAGGGGATGAAAATTAAGTGAGAGAATTAATAAAAAAAAAGGAAGTGGAAACAAATTCCAAAGAAGCAGGATTTGGTAAATGTAAAATGAACCGTATTTTAGGAACCAGCAGTTTTTACTTTGAGTTTGAGGGGAAAAAAAGGGGGGGGGCATGCTTTTGCAAGTTTTGGGATGTGAGTTATAGGGGTTGAATGTAGGGGAGAATGTGAGAGAAATAATGGGAAAAAATACAAAGAAGCAAGATTTAGGAAATGACCCATATTATGCCCCCAACCTGAACTTACAAATGTAGACTCTTAATCATGGCACAATGTGCCATGATTGTGACAAGCCACAATGCTTTTCTTTATGAAAGTATCAGTCAGTGGCAGATACTGTTTCAGGGTCCCACATATGCCAGGTGCTTCATATATGATAAAAGCATATACTTTTTACAAGTATTAACACCAAACATTGCCATTGGCTTGTCAGGGTCCCTTTCCTTGAACAAAATCATGGATCTGCACCTTTCAATACATAAAACTCTCTTAAAAATAATGTGTTAAATGTTATTACTTTTTTCAATTCCCTTCTTAAATTAAATTTTTTCATGAAATTAAATCAATCAATTAAAAAAAAATGGTGTTAGGATAATTTATATTTAATTAGAAAATAAGTAAGACATTGGATTCTTTGTGAATTGTATTTTCTTGCAGGTGAAAGTCCTGCATCTTCCATGAAAACTTTTTGAAATTCAAGCAGAAATTGAACTGATCTAGTTTGAAGCTCTGAAACATCAATTTTGATTACAGAAACAAAGAGAAGTTTACATATTATTATCTGATTTTTATTTGATATATTACAAACTAAGGATTTTCTTATCCCAGGAATAGATTATGATCTGAGCCGTATTTGGCAAAACTTTTTGGAATTTTGGGTCCTCAATGCTCTTCAACTGGTACTTGTTTGGCTTTAAAAATATTTTGATCTGAGCGTCACTGATGAGTCTTATTATATGTAGACGAAACACGCGTCTGGCGTATTAAATTATAATCCTGGTACCTTTGATAACTATTTACAAATGATTCTCAATTTCTGAATTAATAGAGATAAAAGTTCATGAATAATTCATGATTCACAATATATGATCAGACCATTGAAAATATAATGCTGATTTTCCCTATTACTAAAGAAAATTTCAAACGGTTGAAGGACAGGAAAGAGCCTGAAAGACAGTTTAGACTTCATTATTTTTTAGTTTGAAAAATTGAACAAGACACATTGTTTTAAACCCCATGAACTTGAAATTCATGAAAAAATACAAGACTCAATTGACCTTGATTCATGGATGATGTTAAGCTCATTTTTTGAGATTAAATCAGTATTTGATACTGTGAGCAATAATTTGTCAACTATATTTGGTGTATGGAATGTTTGTAAGGTGTATATGTCCAACTGGAAGGTGTGATTTGACTTTCACCTCATTTTCACTGTTCAATGCAGAGTTTGATTGTTGATTCAGGGACACACACACACTAAATTTAGTTTTTAAAAGTACTATAGGTTGATGAATTTTTCCTAGCAATATTGTTAATGTTACAAGTGAAAGACTTGAGATTACATGTAGATTTACTGTAGTGCTCCTTTCGTGTGGTAACCTAACGGTGTACAATACTTAGCCCAAGTATCAACAGCAGCACGGAAGCTTTCACTTGGGACAGTTATAAGTTTATAATACAAATGAAAAAAAAATTAGATCTGGCATGATTGATGCTGAGCAAACAATTCAAAGATACAAACCATTACTGGTCAGTTGAAGATTAAGCTTAAATGAGCAAAATCTATACTGTTTTATGTAAATCCGACTTTAAAATTTTTGCACTTTCTCATAAATTTCTTATGTCACAATGCTGGGTCAATGATGTCACAACATAACACAAACTAATCATCAGTTTTTAAAGGATTGCAATTATAAGACACAAAATAAATAGCAATAATAAAAAGACAAAGACCAATCTATTTATTCTATTTCACATATGGCACCATGGAATTTCAATTATTGTATTTCTTAAATAATGTTTATTGATTTTTGATAAAATAGTGTCTTTCAGACAGAATTTTGAAAAGCTCATATTATCTAAAAACCTATGGAAACTTTCCAGAATTATAAACTGACAATCATCTGAACCTTTCCTGAAAAATGTAAGCTAAAGCTGAAAATGGTCTGAACCCATCCTGAACAATAGCTGGAGACTGAATAATGACTGAGTATAGATTCTTTAAAATTTTTACTGAACATTCGCTTAAATATTCTTCTGTTTGTTGAACATTGCAGAAAGAAATGCTGAAATTTTTTTGAATAATTACCTGAAGTGTCTTAGTTTAATTTTTACTGAAAATTTGTGGAAAACCTACTGCAGCATGTTAAATTCAGCCATTTTTGAGAAAATGTTGTTTTAAAGGGTTCTGAATATTTCAGCAAGGTGTTCAGAAAAAATCAAAATCAATGCTGAATATTTACTGAAAACATCTTGCTGAAATGTTACTGAAATTTTGCTGAAAACTTGCTGGAATGTGCCAAATTCAGCCATTTTAAGCAAAAGGTGTTATAATTGGTTCTGAATATTTCAGCAAGATGTTCAGAAAAATTCAGAAGTAATGCTGAATTATTGCTGAATATGAAAATGTCTTGCTGAATTGTTGCTGAAAATTTGCTGAAAACTTGCTGGAATGTGCCAAATTCAGCCATTTTTAAGCAAAAGGTTTTATAATAGGTTCTGAAAATTTCAGCAAGGTGTTCAGAGCAATTCAGCATTAATGCTGAATACTTACTGAAAAGGTACTGCTGAATTTTTACTGAAAAGGTACTGCTGAATTTTTACTGAAAATTTGCTGAAAACTTGCTGGACCGTGCCAAATTCCGGCATTTTTAAGAAAAGGGTTTACTTAAATATATGTAATGCGTCAGCAAAATTCCAACATCATGTTCAGAAAAAATTCAGAAAAATATTTTCATGAGAGAAGGGACCTATAAGTGGAGAAGGTTGGATAGTATAAGGTAATTAAGTAAAAAATAGTTGCACAGCAATGCTATTGTTGGAAGTTGTAGTACAAAACACTGACTGAACAAGGATGCACTTTTGCTGAATGGTTTTTAATATGGCTGAATTAATAGTTCTTATTATGGCTGAATATGTCTTAATAAGGCTGAAGATTGGATTAATTTGTCTGAATAGTTCTTAATATGGTTGAATATTTCTGAATATATCTGAATATTTCTGAATATGTCTGAATATTTCTATATATGTCTGAATATTTCTTAATATGTCTGAATATTTCTTAGTATGGCTGAAGATTGGAAGAATATTGGCTGAAGATTTCTGAATATTGCTGAATATGTCTTAAAAAATGGCTGAATATTTCTTAAATACAGCATCATTTAAACCATAAATTTTCTGAATATTTCTGTTTCTGAATACTGGCTGAATAGTCCGAAATTCAGTAAATATTCAGAAATAGACACAAATACAACATTCAGACATATTCAGACGATTATTCAGATATAATTCAGAAATAATTAAGACAGTATTCAGCCACCAATTTTCCATGAGGGTACAATCACCTAGACCAAACAATCACCTAGACCATACAGCCACCTAGAAAATAAATCCACCTTGACCTTTCATCCATCTAGAACACTTATACCATACAGCCACCTTGTCCATACAGTAAATAAAACCTTACAGCTACCCAGACCATGAGCTTCATAGTCCCCTATTTATTGGAGGATTAATTGAAACTTACCAACTCTCCTGACTCTGACATTTATTCTGTTTCTAGGAATGGACAGCATACTTGATACATCAGTCTGCAGAAAAGTAAGGAGGCATTTATAAACCATATTACAACCAGAGGGGAGCTCATCAGTAAAGAGTGTTTATAAACTGTATTGCTAACAGTAGGGAGTTCATTTACTCATAATCAGATGGGAAAATCTGTAAAAATTTCTTATCTTGAGCCTCAAATCCAACCTTTTCTAAACATTTTGAATTTAATAATAATCATTTTGTGATAGAAAAAAATACTATTGATGATTAAAATTTAAAACGATTGAAATAAAATTTGTATGAAGCATGCAGAATTTTTTTTTTTTTTATCTACGTTATACTAGATAATATATTAACCTGTATTTCATTTATAGCTTGTGTAGAAGAGTATATATCCAGCTCTCTCTGTTCAATTTTAGGTACGACTAGAGCTGTCTGTGGTTCCAGGTAGAGATGTTCCTGAGCATGGCTTTCTACTTCTCCACACACTATTTCTGCTGCTTCATTGATGGCCTTGTCCATGTCACCTTCATCAAGAGTTAAACCAAGCTCATAAAAAGATTTCTTTTCAATGGCTTCCTGAAATAAATAAATAAATATTTATTATAATACATTTGATATGAACTATACATATAGATTTGAAGACTCCCTTTTGAAATCTTTATAATGTTTTAATACAGCTACATATTTTGGTAATAGGATTCAAATACAGATTCATGTCCATGCTTTGGTTTTAAGGATTTGACAGTGCATGGTTTTAATTTCTATTTGGAAGACCACTTTTGGGATCAGCTGTTTTTGTCGTAATGATACACACCTTGATATAATAGATTGATTGATTGATTGTTGGTTGCTTAACGTCCAATGGCAAATATTTCATGCATATTCAGGACGAGAACAAATTAACAATAAATACAATAGGTAGGTTCTGTAATAGGGGCTTCCGGGATTAAGGTCGGAGAAATTTAGACTGCCACTGGAAATGAGGGTATATTGGATAGGGACAGAAATTTAGCCTTGCAACAGGTCACCTACGGACCCCTCAAAGAGTTGTTGCAAGGGTTCTTAACGTACAAAGAGCGTGGCACTCTCTTTACACGAGGCATCGGATTTAACGTCCCCATTCTGACCGGACGTGGCTGCAAATTTGTACATCCCGCACAGCCAAACGGACGCCCCACTTTGGCGAGGGTTTTACCGCCGGTCGGAGGAAGACCAATGGTGACCATACTTCTATTCCCCAGTCATCCTTGGGGGTTGATATAATAGAAGGCAGACATTTCATTGGTTGACTTGATAAATATCAGATCATAAAAAAAGAGCGAAGCATGTTAGATCCCTTTAAGCCAAGCATGGATACAGGATCTGTACATGTATTTTAATCAGATTGCATATAAAGTAATGGGCAATGCTAATCACAGAAGGCTTTAACAAAAACTACTTTGAATATCTCTTTAAATGAGGGAATAAAGTTGTTCCATCCCATTTTGATGTAAAAATATACATGTCATAAAAAAGTGTTTTTTGTTTCCCTTGTGTATATAGACTAAATATGTAAACTATGTCAAACCTAATGCTGACAGGGATTATAAGTAGCAATTGGATTGAAATATGACTGGAAACAACTTTTTTTTTTATAGTTTCTAGCATGACAAATTCTGAAATTCACATTTCTTTTATACACATACAGTAAAACCTATTAATTTGGTCAGTTTAGTAAGTAAGCCAGGATTAAAATTAATTTATTATTTAAGTATTAGATGATGAATTTTATTCACCAGTTTTGTTTGTTTGCTAAAATAAGAATGTTTCTATCTATGTGTCCTATCAAATAATTCAGAGAGACAGACAATGTTAATAGAAGAAAATAAATTCAAAGATACATGCATTAATTCAAATCAAATCCTCTATAATAAAGATAATGTAATTTATCAATGATATCAGTTTTTGTAGGTTAAAAGAGATGTTATCCATTACAAATTTTAATATGACATTTGTCAAACACTTTAAGTATTGTAAATCTCAATAGCATGTCACTGATTCAGTTTTCTTCCTCTTTTACGTCAATTTCAATAGTGTGTTCAATTGCGGGAACAGCAGATATTTGCCTCAACCTAGAGCACTTCCATCAAAAAAGAGTTGCTGTCATTGTTCTATTAGAATAGAAAGAATTCATTGAGAGTCGATTTATTTTGGTTTAACCACAGGTTGGCCCTTTATGCCGATATTCTAAAATAAATTTATTGTAAAATATCTAGCATAAAGGGCCAACTGTGGTCAAATCAATATAAATTTAAGCTTTCATGAACTATTTCTTAATCATATACTTACATCAATTGTATAAATAGCCTCTAAATCCTCATAATCAATCTTGACAAGTTTGGCTGCCTTGCTAGCTATCTCTCGGGTGTTGGCCAATACTGCTCCAATTATCTGACCATAATGCAACACCTAAAATCATATAACAGATAAATATAAGAATTGAGAGAAGATATCAAGAGGCAAAGAAAAAAGATGAAACAAATGACCACAAAAACCTACACAGACAAATAAAGATTGAGCAAAATAATCCCACCAAAACACTATTACTGACAAAACACTTGTTTCAGTGTGTTACTGACAAAACACTTGTTTTAGTGTGTTACTGACAAAACACTTGTTTTTGTGCATAAGTAAATTTTCTGGTTAAAGTTTTTTAATTGTACAGTTTAAACTGTGTATTATGTTCTTACACTGCTACGGATAATAAAGAATCACACTAAATATGTTATTGATAATAAAGGCTTAGTTGTGTCCTGATTGAAGTAGTTTCAGGTGGGGATTTTTGTAAAGTCAAAGGACTACTGAAAACAAAAGACTGCCAAAGACAATGGTGAAGTCATGGCAAAAGCTCACACTGGCCTTTGGACCAGGTGAGCTAAAAATATTAGAAGGTATATACATCATGTATAAAGGAAAGCTCATACATTTGTAACAAATTTAAAGAATAATGCTACAAGGTTAATAATCAGACTAGAATGTTACACTGATATAAATACACTTTTAGTCAATTTAGATAAGACATTACAAATATAATAAAACCAATATCTAAACCTACTTCGATGTGCATAATTGATTGAAATTTCAAACTATTGTCAAAACAGGAAGAAGCTGAACATCAGATCTTAACATTGCTTACATTGAGCTACAGCTCAACATTATCAAGCTTCAGACCAAATATAAAATCTTTCCCTGTTATAGAAGCCAAGAGAACCCATACTGCCCTATAAAAGGTCCATACACATGACAAAATGTGAAAAGTTCATCATCAACCAAAATAAATAATTAACAAAATTATAACAACCATTTGAACAGATTAAGAAACTATAAACTTATCTTATGCTTAAATTACAAATATGATTTATCACAATGTCTTATGTATATATATATTTCTATTTTATAGTGCAAAAATAAAGGATACACCTTGGGCTGTTTCATGCTCTTTGGTCAGGTTGTTGTCTCTTTGACACATTCCCCATTTCCATTCTTAATTTTACATGTTTCCCCTCCAGGAACCTGTTGATCTAAATAATTTCCTCCGAAACAAAATACCTGTTTTGTCCTATGAAATTCATCAAATCGTAAAATTTTTATCCACATTCAAATTTCTTAACAAGAGTGCACACGCTGAACTGTCTCGCCTGTTTAACTTATCATTGAATTTATGATGAAAGTCTGTAATATGAAGGTTTTACTACAAGTATAACATAAACTTAACATTATCAATGTTCTACGAAAAAAAGTCATGGTCAGGTGAACCATGCCAGACAGACATGCACACCTTTCAACCATTCCTTACACCAAATATAGAGGTCCTATCACAAATAGTACCTGAGAAACAGATCAAACCACAAAATCAAAATATTGACCAATGAACCATGAAAATGAGGTAAAGGTTATTTGAACCTTGCCAGACAGACATGTACATCTTACAATCATTCCATACACCAAAAATAGTTGACCTATTGCTTATGATATATGATAAACTAACAAAATCACGAAAAACTAACCATTAAATAATGCCCATGAAAATAAAGTCAAGGTCACATGAACCCTGCCAGACAGACATGTACACCTTACAATCTGTCCATACAACAAATATAATTGAACTATTGCTTATAATATCTGAGAAATAGACCAATCCACAAAAACAAAACATTGCCCAATGAACCATGAAATTGAGGTCATGGTCAGATGAAACCTGCCAGTCGGACATATACACCTTACAATCATTCCAAACATCAATTTTGCTTATAGTATCTGAGAAATGGACCAAAACACAAAAAATAACATTGTACAATGAACCATGAAATAGAGGTCAAGGTCAGATGAAACCTACCAGTCAGACATTTACACCTCAAAATCATTCCATATACCAAATATAGTTGACCTAATGCTTATAGTTTCTGAGATACGGATTTGACCACGCAACTTTAACCTTGATCACTGATCCATGAAATAAGGTTAGAGGTCAGGTGAACCCTATCTGATGGACATGTAGACATTGGAAGGAACCCATATACCAAATATAGTTATCCCATTATTCATAATAAGTGAGTAATTCACTTGATAAAAAAGCTGCTAATTTTTTCAAGCAGTCACTGAACCATGAAAATGAGGTCAACAACAATGGACATATGACAGACGGAAACTTTGTAACATAAGGTATCTGTATACAAGGTATGAAACCTCCAGTTTTACCCACTGAAATATAAACAAATAGTTTACACAGTCGTTGCCACGTAGCCCCAGCTTGTTTTCCCTATTATTTAAAAAAAAAACTGAAGAAAGGTTATGGTATATATATATATATATATGAGTATGAATTGATGTATTGAGTAGGTTCTAAAAGGCAATTGCAATGATACAGCAGAAATGATGGTTAAAGCTTGAAGTTTTCTTCAACAAATATACAAACAATAACTAAAATGAGGATGAGAGAACTTTATAATCAACTACTTACTTCCTCTTCAGCAAAGAGTGTCATATCATGTACCATTAGCCCAAATTTATTAGTCCCTGGAATATCTTTTTGACAAATATAGTCTACTACTCCTGGCACAGCTAAGGCTTCTGATGTATCAACTTTCAATATTTTAGCATGTGCTCTTGTACTGGTAACAACTGCAGCATATAGTTCATCTACAATCAAAGTCAAACAAAAAAATCATTTCTGATTCTCAAACAATGCCAACACTGCTGATAAAAACATTAGACTCCATGCTCAGCTCACACTATCACTTACATGTTCAATGAATCTATAAATCTAGGTCAAACCCTACATTGGCATATATTGAACATGTGTACTAAGTTTCAAATTGCTATGACCACAATTTCATTGTAAACTACCTTAAACCAAATGTTTAACCTGATATCAGACAGACTTGTTGAACAATTCTCTATGTCAAATATAAACAGCAACACATTAACAAATACATTACACCTATAAACATGATAAAAAATAATCAAATTTGATGATCCCTTTGGGTGTTCAATAAATCTACTTAATAATTGAATTACTACTGAACTTTGGCATATCAACAATAAATACAGCTTCTCCTGTAACAATGTATTCTGATCCAACATTAGGCACTGGTTTTCAAACAACATGTTTACCATCATAATATACTTACTACTGAACTTAGGCATATCATCAATAAATACAGCTTCTCCTGTAACAATGCATTCTGATCCAACATTAGGCACTGGTTTCCAAACAACATGTTTACCATCATCATCAGGAACGTCATAGATTTGGATGCCAGTAGATGGGTTTATCTCAAGCTTGTCTGCAGCACTACTTTCCCTTAAATCTTTGTCTTGTATCTATTAAATGTTAATATACATACCATACATGAAAATTGCAATATATGTAAGAAGGAGATTGTATGTTCATTGCTGGATAAGAACTTTCATTTCAGAATACAATTTTTGGCTAAAAAATCAGATTAATGGATTTTTTAATTCCTATTTTCAGACAGTTCATGAACTTAGGAACTTTTGAACTCCTGGTTTTAAACTTGTTCATGGATTTTTGAATTAATAGTTTCAGATTTTCAACACAACAATACTATGCAAAACATGCATTGTTTCAGGTAGTAAAAATAGTGAGTCTGATATACATGTATATAAAAAACCATAAAATCCATGGATATTGATAAATAAATGTTCTTTAACATCAAACAACAACCAATCAATAAATCAATCAAAAGGTTATGAATGCACTTTATAATATATGATCTTCGAAGTATCATATAAGTTATCAGGATCCTAATTTGAAATTCTTATGCTCTTGGTTTAGATTTGATTGAACTCTTGTAAAAAATCTCTTGGAATGAAATATAATATGAATATATATATACCTCAATTTTAAAACAAAATGTAAACAAAACACTTTTACATTTATAAAAAAAATGTAGAACACTTTATGTTACTACTAAATGGCTTATGTGAACTTTTGTTTTGTTGGATTGCTGTATCCTATACATACACCCTTTATCCCCTTTAATTGACTCCAAAACGATCTATAAATCTAAAGGACACTATTTTTACCTTCAAACTTTTGTTCATCTGTAGATAAAATTTATACAGAAAACTAGCAGCTAATGTTGTTTTGAACTTTAAATCTTCCCCTTTCTCTATGTTGGATAACTCTGTGATTAACTTGTCAGTCACAGAACTGAAGTCTATATCTTCCCATTTTCTGTAAAATGAAATAAAAGGGAAATAAACTGAAAGAAAAAAATTTTTTAGTTTTCTCTTATTTCTTGTTATTTTATGGAATTTGGTTTAGATTGCAGATCATTATGTATAGAGGAACCTTGAAAAAGTTATCCCCTAAATTCTTCCAAATTGTGAGAAACTTAATAAGAATACTGCTTAGTAATAGACGGGAATCTGCAACATTTGACCCTAGAATTAGCGACACTTGAAGTAGTGACATCATATAGCAATTACGTTTCTTTTGTGGCCTAAGACACTTTTTTTTCTGAAAATGTTTAGGGAACAGCTGCAATGTCCAGTAATGGCGGACAAATAGTGATAAGGTCTTTATGACCAAAACAGTGATTTAACTTTTTTTACTATTTGCTTTTAAGTGTTATATTTGTGTTGGTGCAATTCTTCATCTATTGTTTGTTATAAATTTTATTTTGCATTTTCTTTGTCTTTATAAGATTAGCAATAAGTCTTGGGCAGCTATATTTTGAGTTTTGACATTTTTGCATGTATAAGGTATCAAGTCAGATTATTTTACAGAAGTTCAATTTCAAATGAGGATATACTAACATGAAATCGCTACTTAGATTCATTTACAGCAAATACATCCCAGTCTATATATAAATGCATGTAGAACAGAATTTACAATGTTTTTCTTTTTACTTAATGAACATTACACAGGCAAAGTAAAAAGAAAAATATAAAGATGCTTTTAGGATTTAAAAAAAAGATGCTCCTATTCCCCAAAACTGACAGGGTTCAGCAAATCAGGCCACTTGTTAAATTTACTTGCTAAAGTTTCAGAACTAAAACATAAAATATAAACAAAACAATAAATGCTTTACATACTTTCCTTGTAATTCTGATTCAGCTGACTTGACAAAAACAGGCTTTTTATCAATATTTCCAAAACATATTCTGGCCTGCTTAACCATATGACTGTCCGGTTTAAACTGTATAAACATCCCAGCATTCAACACTGCATAGTCAAATCCTCTCCTTCCTGGTTGTTTAAAAAAACTCACATAGTCTTCCTTAAGTAAACAAGATTAAAGTTCCATACTACTATAGATGCATCTTTACACAAAATTATTTGTTTGTCCATCCCTTAATATCTGAGATCTGAACTAAAACATAAAACGTAACAAGAAAATTTACATTATGCTGTGCAAATTTATTTAACCACACTTTTATTTAGAGCACATTTTTTGTTTGCAATTTTATGTGAAAACCTGTAGCAAAATGATTGAAACAGAAAGAAATCAAAATATTTTTTTTTGCTCTGAAAAAACATGAAAAAAGAGTGGATGAAAATCTAGGAATTTCTTTAGTGTGACCTAACGAAATTCACTAGGGGCAAGAGTCTTCCTTTAAGCACATGTCCTATCTCTCGATGATGCATCTTGACAATTTATATAGAATTACACTGTAGGTAGATCTTTACTATCAGAACATTTTCATAAAATGTCAGATTCTCTCTGTCTATTGTGGTTTTAAAGAAATTCAAAATAAAATAAGGAGATGTGGTATGATTGCCAATAAGACAACTTTCCACCAGAGTTCAAATGAAGTGGATGTGAGCAACCGTACAACAATGAGAAAAATCCATACCATATAGTAGGCTATACCAGGCCTCGACAAGAAAAATGTGAAACAATTCAAACCAGAAAACCAACTTGGATCACAATAACGGAATGAGCAGACCATAGGTAGTGCAGTCTAACAAAAACTGTAGTTAACTGCACAACATTAAGACATCAGTAAAACAAAACAAACATATAACAAACACAGGGCAAATACAGAAAATGTAAGAATTTACTTGCATTTTAACTTATGTTCTATTTTTAGTGATGGCAATGTTGGTTCATTAATGAATAAAGAGAAATAAGAAGATGTGTTATGAGTGCCAATGAGACAACTCTCCATCCAAGTCATAATGTGTAAAAAGTAAACAATTATAGGTCAAAGTACGGCCTTCAACACAGAGCCTTGGCTCACACCAAATAGCAAGCTATAAAGGGCCCCAAAATGACTAGTGAAATATAACTCTCAAACTTTAATCTAAACATATGATGATCAATATTGAGTATCCTAATGATCAAATATTCAGAGTTTGAATTAGCTCAGTCGTTTCAGAGAAGAAGATCTTTAAAAATATTTATGGTAAGGATGGACTACATTTGAATGTGATAAACTGATTTTTCAATTTTCAAAACTAAATAGCATTTTCAAAGGCTATTGTACCAACCAACATGGCAACAAGAACAATAATAACTATTCTGTTTAAAAAAAATATACTATTTCAAAAACAGAATCTTTTAAAGCAGTAAAAACAGCAAACATTTGTTTCATTTTTTTAGGAATGCCATTTTGTACATTTATATCATTTGGTTATTGTCATTGACATTTCATTTAATCATATCAAAAGAAGGAATAATTTACCTTAGATGTCAAAGGAATACTGATGGATGTCATTATTTCTGCTGTTCCAAATCTTCCAGGTCCATTCTTTAGGAAAGTATCATCAAATTTACAGCTTAGACTTTTCTGTGTCTTATTTTTATCTATTTAAAACAATTACAATTATGCTGTTTTATCAAATAGTTTAATCAAGGATATCGATCTTTTTTAAAAATCTCTGCTTGATTTTAGCTGAATATTCATTTATTTACACCACATATGACTAATTTTGAGTGTTTATCTAATGACTTTTTACTGAATCATGATGATCCAAAGGACAGAGATAAAGTTTGTTTCTGAAAACAAGCTGAAAACAAAAATAAAGTTGGTAGGTAAGCAAATAATTCTATTTTTCATAAAGTTTTTGACTGGTTTTAACAGGGCAAAGTCTGATTTTAATTCCTCTTGTTCAAAAATGAAATAATCTTTAGGATAGGGACTAAAAATTAGGCATGGTAGGGTTAGCAGAAACAGAAGTATTTTCTCTTTCGGCCTTAATTTATATAATAATTGTACAATAATACATTTTGGAGTAGAGTACACAATACAAAGGTTGAACTTATCTTGGAGCAGCATTTGTTAAGTATTTAAAATACCACAATATATGATAAAGAGAATACAACTCACCAAGATACAAAAAGTTAAGTTGTGCGCCCATGGCCATAAGTAGTGTCTGTAAATCATGGTTAGGAGCCTGGCTCATGATATGTCCTCCAATTGTCTGAAAGAGATGAATTCTTATTCAATGAGGGGGGGTAGGACCTTTATCGGGACTCCGGGTATTGGGTGTTTTTAAGCTCGGGATTTCGGGATTGATCCTTTCGGGATCCGGGAATTCTTTTTTCGAATTTCGGGATGTCGGGATTTTAATTTTTTTAAGTTCAGAACCTCGGGATTCCATGTTTTTAAGCCCGGGATTTCGGGATCAGGACCCCTCCTACCCACCCTCTTCAATGGTTATTATGCAAATTCTTTTACACAACTAATAATAGTAAACATGGGCAATAAACTAATGAATTATTAGTATTTGTAAGAATTCAAGTAATAATAAGGACAAAAACACATAAAATGACATCTGTCTTCTGTAACAGATAGAATAGAGAATATAACATTAACCCATATTCTACTTTCTTTATCTTTTCAAAAGTTGCATTGACTTTGCTTTGTTTTAGCAAGAGTTGTCTTTCATGGTAGCATATACACTACAACTCAGGGAGGAGTCTACTTATGATATGAATGATTTTAATCAAAATGAAAAATGAAAATTGCCTATACCAAAATACCGTAAATATAATTCCATAATGGGAGATAACTCTTGTAATGTATTTGAAATAAAACTTACAGCCATATTTCTGATCTGATCAGCACCAATCCATCTTAAACCATCTTGTAAAGCATCAAAAGTTCTTAACTGGTTCTCTGAAATTGTAGAATAATGTCAATAAAGCAAAGACGAAAGGATAAAAGTAGGGACAGATGAAGAAAGTGATTGAGAGGGGTTCTAGATATAAGTTTCTGAGTTTATTTATACAATCTATAGTGAAACAGTACCATAGATAATTAAGACATGCCATTTGTTAATCATCAAGGACTGTAAAATATTGTATTTCATTTTGAACTTGACATTTCAAATTGGTATGAAAGCCCATAATGAATAAAGTCAACTTTTTACCATTGACACCCTTGGCCTTATCATTAAGAGCTTGCTCTAGACTTCTCATGGTAACAGCAGATCCTATGACAAAGTCTGTATCTGTCACCTCTACTGTAGAAAGTTCAGGAACATTTGATCCACAAATGATGGTTTTTGATTTCATCTGTCCTGTTCTCAGCAAAAACCCTGCACACAGATAAAAACATTTTTATAAGATTACTGTAACAAGATTTACTGTGATTTTTTCCCCTTTATAGTTAGGAGACATATTTGTAAATTAAAGCAACCTTTCTTGTTTCTGAATTCTAGATATTTATTTCAAGTGAATTACATTTGTATATTGTAATGTGAAAATTTGTTTGAATAAACATTGTTTAAACTAAAAACTCCATACAATTTCAATGCATTAATACCCATAGAATAGTTTCAAAGATCAATTTTCTGTCATAAGTATCTATGTTCTAATCAACTCTATTAGGAAACTTGGCAATAGGTAACCATGTTGATGACAGCATTTAGTAACACTTAAATTGACAGCCATAAAAATGATGATTAGTAGATTACTAATGGAATAATCAATAATCTTCTTCCAAATACTGCCCACATTCAACATGATGAATATTCTGGCAAATAATAAAAGCATTTTTTCTCTGTTTATTTTAAACAACAAGTGCTGATTTTCAAAAAGCTAAAAATAAAACTGAGTTTCACATGTTAAGGCAATGGAAAATTATCTCATCAGATAAACCAAAGATTAATTATGAACCTGTAGTGATATTGTTATATTTCAGTGGATAAGATAACATTAATTTACAGAAAAATTATCTAGCTTATTACCAACTGAAGTGCATCCCATCAGAAGACAAGCATCAGGATTTTGCTGCTTGATCTGTAACAAGTCAGACAGGGAAGCAGGTCTGTACCATGAGTAGTCCCCCTTGGTGAACAGAACTGAAGATTTTCTGTATTCTTCTTTTACCTGAGAAGTGTTCATAAAATGAAATTTACAAATTGTACAAAACAACAAAAAATGGTTTATAACAGCCCTGAAAATTGATAAAATGCAATCTTAAAATTACAGCATTGCTTTGTTAGAAAATAATTAAACATTTTCTAATTAAAATAAAAATATATGAATTCAGAATAGTTTTACACTTATGATGTCATTATGATTTATGACAAAGTATTGGTGTATTGACCCTACATTACAGATATTTATAGATTATCAATGGTTTTTCAAACAAGAGGGTGTTTCTCAGCCACAATATCATCTAAGGGCGAGAGCCCTGAGATAAGATGTAGCAGAGAAACATCCTCGACTGTTTTCCTAGGCAACGTCAATGACGTGTAGGTTCATTACATCATACAGTCTCTTTCTCTTAACCGAGAAAAAAATACGCTGTTGCTAATGGGCCTTAGATACTAGCGATAATTTTCTATCTCAAGTGAGTAGCATGATATGAAAAATTATCACAAAAAAGATCAAAGGAAAAATACACAAAATAACAATAATTTCTAATACTGCAATAATTTTCAAACTGTATGACTGCCTAAACTGAACTGTTGCAACAATGTACAAAACAATACATTAAATAAATGGGACTTTAACTTATTGAAATAACCGTCTAACTCTTCAGCTTTTATGTAAATAATTCCTAGTACCTGTAGTTCTGGAGGGAATATAAAACTCTGTGATGGATCTCCCTTTTGTTCTGTAATTGTAGGTGCATCAATGCTTGAATCTGTTGAATCTGACTGCTGACATAGTCCTAAGCCACATGGACATGCCTAGAAGAAAACAAAACTTTGATTTGCAAGAACCACAAAAACTATTTACATGAAATGTGTTATTCATACAGACAAACAGTGTTGTAAGTTATTTAGTTTGTTCTTGCATGTTTTCTATATTTGCAGGTCCAAAAACTATGAAACTTAACCTAATTAAATCTATGTACTTTTTAAGAAAACATTATAGATTTAAAATAAAGTCAAGATCACATATCTTACCTTACCTGATACAGGGTTCTCACAAAGGCATGTCCATGAGCCCTTGCCTCATAAAAATCTGTCAGGACTCAAAACTGGTGAGTCCAAAGATGCATCAAGAGTGTAAAATGTTGTATCAACTCAGCACATATAATCATCATTTAATAACAGAAAGTTTAAAAATCTAAATCTGATGTAATTTCCTTGTTCTATTTTGTCATGGGGACTAATATAATAAATTATATAGCAATAAATGGGGAATGTGTCCATGGGACACAGACGATGCCCCAGCTTGCATATAACATTATAAAGGGACATAACTCAAGAAGGGTAAAAGTGATGATACCATGATACCCAAATCCAAATTGATCTGTGTTTTGTGGTAATAAGCATTGTGTATAATTTTCATAACATTTGGTTGAGGCAAAGTAACAGAAATGAAAAATTCAGCAATTTTTCCATTTGTAAAGGGGCATAACTCTAGAACGGTAAATGTGACGCCACCAAAATTAAAACCTGATCTGTGTTTTGTGGTAATAACCATTGTGTATAAGTTTCATAACATTTGGTTGAGGCAAACAAAAATAAGAGAACGTAAACGAAAAATTCAGTAATTTTTCCATTTGTAAAGGGACATAACTCTTGAACGATAAGAGTGACGCCACCAAAATTCAAACTTGATCTGTGTTTTGTGGTAATAAGCAATGAATTTTAGTTTCATAACATTTGGTTTAGGCAAACTAAAGTTAGAGAACGGAAACCAATTTTGGGACATACGTACGTACGGACGGACAGACAACGGTAAAACTTAATGCCCCCTCCGCTACGGCGAGGGCATAAAAAAAAATTATCTTCTCACAGTTGGACTCGCCATGGCTAAAAGTGACAAGTCCTTGGACTCCCCTTTAAAAATCCTTGATGGGAACCCTGCCAAACCTCTCCTTCATTGTCTTCTTATGACAATTTGAGCTGAAATACTGGTAATTTACACATTTTTTTCTCAAAAATATAGAGTACATTAAAACGAACTTGAATTACCTTTGAGGCCTGCTTAAAAGCATCAACAATTGGTCTGTATCCTGTACATCTACATAGATTACCTGTAAAGGTAAATCAATAAAAGGTCAACTAATTCAATGATGCATCAACATTGTCCTGCTAAGCATATATACCCCCACTCACTAGTCAAAGTATGGTAAAACAGGAAAAAGGTGTCTGATAGATCTAAAATCATTACAAATAATCACTGCCAATGCTATTTACCAAATATGAAGTCATTATTATCAATAGTTTCTGATAAAAGTTTGCCAAAAACATTCGTTTTCATTCAACATTTGGAAAAGTATCACCAAACAAGAAGAATGTGTCTGAAAGAACCGAAAAGAGCTCATCACTTTCAAGCTGCTGACCAAGTATGAAGTCATTCTATTGAGTACTGTAAATTCAGAAATTATTGCGTGGATTTTTTATTGCAATTTTTGAAGACTGAACAAATATGTGAGATTAATTATTGCATTTCAGGTAAAGTTTTATGCACGTATATATGTGTCAGATAACAGAATGCAAGTTCTTATATTGCGATCACCCAGTCACATTATTTGCATTAATAAAAACCTCGCAATAATTTCTGAATTTTACAGTAGTTCTTACAATCTTTCTTAAGACTTGGGATGATTAAGATATTACCAAATTATATGGACAATGGTCTATTGTTATATTCAGGTAATCAGGGGCCTCAGTGCCCAAGTGGTCTAAGTAGTTCATCTACAGCACATTACTACATTGTACTAGCATGTCAACTGTAATGTTGTGAGTTCAAACCCGCACATGGTAGATGTGTTCAACTGTGATCTTAATTGACTAGGATTGCCAGTTTTCCTGCTGAAAGAAAGTGATTCTTCCCTCCAGGCACTTCAGCTACCTCCACCAATTAACATTGATCGCCATGATATAACCAATTGTGCTGAAAGTGGCGATCAGTTATCATCAATCTATTGTTATACCAGTAGCTACAAATGGACTTTTGTTTTAGCTCGAAAGCATTTTAATTTAAAAATGTAAGCAACGATAAAATTACACACAAAAAAGAACATTGAATTATCATAACTACATTATCAAATTTGTTTTTTGGGGTTGTTTTTTTTTACACATTGTTGTTACATTATCATGGAAAGTATGTGCAGTAAGAGATGTTTTTTTTTTATTGTTACATGAAACTTAACCCTGAAACACATCCTTGTTGTTACATGAAACTTAACCCTGAAACACATCCTTGTTGTTACATGAAACTTAACCCTGAAACGCATCCTTGTTGATACATGAAACTTAACCCTGAAACACATCCTTGTTGTTACATGAAACTTAACCCTGAAACACATCCTTGTTGCTGTCTGCCAATCATATTAATGGAATCCTTCTGAATCATCTTTGTAAATTTTTTACCTAATTAAAGAACCTTAGTGAGCGCGCTCACATACCCCACATCCCCACATTGTCATTGGAGAAATAAAATAAGTATAAGAAAAAAAAATTGTATCAGAAAAAAAAACTGAATCATAATTTCCAGTCAATATGCACATCTACATAGTATGTCCTTATTATCTACAAAGTTTCATGAAATTCTGTTGTGTGGTTTGAGAGGAGTTGCGATGACAAAAGGTTGCAGTAGTATATTGGGCAAATAAGTTTAAAGGGGCGTAACTCCTGGAAAAAAAATTGAATCGTAATTTCCTGTCGATATGCACATCTACGTAGTATGTCCTTATTATCTGAAAAGGTTTCATGAAATTCTGTTGTGTGGTTTGAGAGGAGTTGCGATGACAAAAGGTTGCAGTAGTGTATTGGGCAAATAAGTTCAAAGGGGCATAACTCCTGGAAAAAAAATTGAATCGTAATTTCCTGTCGATATGCACATCTCCGTAGTATGTCCTTATTATCTGAAAAGGTTTCATGAAATTCTATTGTGTGGTTTGAGAGGAGTTGCGATGACAAAAGGTTGCAGTAGTATATTGGGCAAATAAGTTCAAAGGGGTGTAACTCCTGGAAAAAAAATTGAATCGTAATTTCCTGTCGATATGCACAACTACATAGTATGTCCTTATTATCTAAAAAGGTTTCGTGAAATTCTGTTGTGTGGTTTGAGAGGAGTTGCGATGACAAGAAACAGGACTGACGGACGGACAGACAGACGGACGGACAGACGGACAGACGGACAGACGGACAGGCGGACGGGTCAAAAACATTATACCCTCCGCAACTCGTTGCGTGGGGTATAAAAACTAAAGTTAAGCAATATGCAGTAACTCAGTTTGAAAATTCCATTGCACATCAGTAGCAAAAATGTTATAAAATAGCTCTGCTAGAAACAGGGAGTTATAGTAACGCATACCTTCAAGAGCTCTCTCCATCTGGTCAGCTGTAGGCTGTGGTACATTGTGGAATAATGTGTACATTGTCATCACCATCCCTGGTGTACAGAATCCACACTGTAGTCCATGTGAATCCACCAAACTTCTCTGTAAAAAAAATATCTGTGTGTTGCGAATAACTAATGTTTGACATATACTGTTGCATCTAAGCCCAGTATACTGAACAATGCAAGATTCTGTAAAATCATAATTATGATGACTAGTATTTCCTTTGTCACATGAAAACACTATCCATACCCCTCAATTATGGTTCAATTTTTAATCCTAAGATCTTGTTTAGATTTTAATACATTTTGATACATTCCTTAAAATTTTAAATCCAAGTATGTTGCCTAACAGGCATATAGTTAATGAATACATACAGATTTTTAAAGTTCGACAGATTTTTACAGTCAGTCAAATTTATAATAGTTATACACGCCTAATAATTCTCATGGAAATGAGATATGCCAAAGCTATACAGCTAAATACAAAATACGATTATCTTATTTAATAAAAGATTACTGTATCTAATTCACTATGCATATCTAACCATGCTAACTGAACATTGGATTTTGTTTATCATTACCATGTTTAGCATCAAATTAGTTTTTAATTTAATTTGGCATTTCACAAGGCCACATAATGATCATGCTTTTCTTTGACTATTTATTACATTTTTACACTAAATCCATTGGATACGTTATGACTGATATTTTAGTATGGGGAAATCAGTTTCTTCATTAGTAAGATTGTTTTGAACTAGCTTTCAGTAATTGTTAGTACTCTTAGATTGGTTGCTGTCTGCCTTATTTGTTTTTAGTTTGTTGTTTTTAGCATAAATCAATGCAAAACAATTTTGAACTGTTTCACATTTTGTTATGCCTTGGGCTGGTATAGCAAACAATATTTTATGGGTTTAGCTCATTGTTGAAGGATGTAGAGTACCCTACAATTGTTGTTGGCACCCTCTTCCTTTGGTCTTTGATTGATAGTTGTCTCATTGGCAATCATACCGTATCTTCTTATTTTCATATAGTAACGACACATGCTTTATGATGAATACCTGAACAGGATGTAGTCCCTTTTCTGTACCTCCCACACCTTCTACTGTTGTCACAGCCATACCATGTAAATAACATATTGGTATCAAGCAAGCATTGGCACAGAAATGGCTGTAAGAACTAAGTTAAGGATTCTGACATGAACAAATTATAAAGTGTGAAATCACTAATATATATTATGATAAGATATTCTCTTCTAGCTGAAAAATTCTTAAATGCATTCCGTGGTTTAATTTTTATTCATGAGATACCAATTTATGTGGATTTCGTGGGTAAACGTGAACCATAAATTTTAATATTCAACGAGGTCACAAATTTGCTAAAGAATTGATGGCAAAGTTTGGCAAAATCACAAAATCTTATATCCACGAAATGTTTTTTTTTCTCAATCCATGAAAATTGGTACCCATGAAAATAATTGAAACCACAGTACTAGTAATTGGTATCAATCTTTATAGAACTTAGTTTTCATCAGCTCATTGATTTTCTGAGGATTTTGTGGTTGGGACAGATATCTGGAGTTACATTTTATTGGCATGTCCAACTTTCCAAAAATTTATTCTGATATTCTTTGTAATATATAAATGCAGAATAAATTATCAAGATGTGCAGTATATGTCAATGATATTCAACCCTATTACACACAAAAATCTTCTTCACAGGGGGAAGGTGTCTATACAATATGTCAAGTTCTAAATCACAATTATTTGTTAGGGGGAAGGGGTTATAAGGGTCAGGTTACTGTTTTGCAGGTTAGAAAGTGGTTTGACACATATTTTCAAAATTATAGCTTTATATCTGACAGGAAGGTAAAACCAGAGCTGAAAACTGTCATTGTTGTGAAATTTTTAAAGTTTCAGGTAGTTCAGTAGCTGTAACTGGATCAAAAATACTCAGCAAAACTTATATGTTAGTACAAAATATACCAAATATCATCAATACAGTTACATGGGCAAGCGGCAAGCCCATGTAAAATGTTCTCTCTGGGGCCTTCATGTTTACCCAATACTCACTTTGTGCATGCCATTATTTGATAAGTTCAACAAACAGGTCCTAAAAATAGCTGTCATCAAGTGAGACTGCTAAAATGGAACTCCCATATTACTAAAATGCTTACAAACAGCAAAATATTGAAAAACTCACCACTTTGGCCATCTCTACAAGACTTACTTGCTCTAATTACTAAATGCTATTTTATATATACTGTAGCCAGTACTTCAGTACTTCAGTACTGACATATAAAGATACACTTATTGTGTTATTGAAATTTGTTGTTACAAAATTTTGGAAACTATTTTAAATTAAAGAACATATCTCCCTCATGCAGATCTCTGCGACTCTTTTCACAAAAAATCTTACGATTAAAATTGATCGTAAGTTATACTGAAATGTGTATGACTTACGAGTATTTTTACTCTTAAGATTTTTCGTGAAAAGAGCCACAGATTCCTTACCTGGTTTCAGTTGTACTTTATGTCCTTTTTTGGTTTTATCAGCTCTTCAATATTTTAAGAAAGTTTTGGAGTTTCAAATATATTTGGTCTTGAGCATCACTTAATAGACATCAATTGTACAAAATGCCCATCTGATGAAGTAAAATTGGTCCTGTTAATGTTATTGTAACATAAATTCTATAAGCTGTGGTACATTTGAGTAAAAGACTATTATCATTATTCAATACGCTGCATTTATAAGATCTTGTGTATATAGATGATATTGAAGGCATGTTTGAGTCATGTTTTAAATAATAATATATATTATGTATATAGCTATTACATTTCTAGTTATGTTGATTGTCTTGCAGGTCAATGGGATGTTTGGGTCATCTGAGTTAAAGAAAGGCCTCAACAATACATCCCCCCCCCTTCCAAAAAAAGGCAAAAAACACTGCCTTTCAGGAAGTTGCAATAATCTGTAGAGGATACACTAATTTGTTGTCTATCTTCTGAGATATCATTACTGTACAAGCTCCACATCCTCCTTGTTCACAGGCTCCTTTTGTTCCAGGTAAAAATACTAATTAACTGTTAAGGTGTAACATCTTAATAAAATCAAAATTTCTAACAATACATAGCTAATAAAACAGCAGCTACTCTAATTCATCAAATCTTTTGTTGTAAGGACAGGATTCAAATTCTTAAACATGTCGACCTGTGTTTTTTTAGATGTTTATCTGCTTTGTATAGATCTGATGAGTTAAGCCTTTTTCAACTGATTTTTTTATAGTTTGTTCTTAAGTTGTATTGTTACACCACTATCCCAGGTTAGGAGAGGGTTGGCGCCTTCAAACATGTTTAACCCTAGGCCTGCCACATTCTTTATGTGCATGTCCCAAGTCAGGAGACTGTAGTTCAGTGGTTGTCGTTGGGCAGCTAGTTTTCTCAATTGAAATGTTTTATATTTTTCATGTTAGGACGTTTTATAGCTGACTATACGGTATGGGTTTTTCTCATTGTTGAAGGCCGAACTGTAACCTATAATTGCTGACATCCACTTCATTTGAACGTTGGTGGATAGTAACTTGTATGTCTCATTGGCAATCATTCCACATCTCCTTATTTTTAATATTTATTTCAAACTTCTTTACAAACCAAAATATATTGCATTTATAAAACAAGAGTGCACACGCTGAAATGTCTCGCCTACTTTACTGATCATTGATTTTATGTGGATAGTCCTAAATATAAAGCTTTACTACAACTTCAACATGTTCAAGTATCACATAAACTTAATATGATCCAAGAAAATGAGGTCAAGGTCAGATAAACCAAACAGGAAATACATATACACCTTACAATCATTCCATACACCCAAATAGTTGACCTATTGCTTATAGTTTTTAAGATACAAACTTGACCAGGAAAACTTAACATTGACCAATGAACCATTAAAATGAGGTCATGGTCAGATGAATCATGACAGACAGACATGTACACTTTACAACCAATCTATGCATTAAATATAGTTAACCTATTGCTTATAGTATCTAAGAAACAAACTAAACCATGAAAACTTAATATTGACCAATGTCAAATAAAACCTGCCAGACTGACATGTACATCGTAAAATATTTCCATACACCAAATATAGTTGACCTATTGCATACAGTTTTAGAAAAAAAAGACCAAAACACAAAAACTTAACATTAACCACTGAACCATGAAAATGAGGTCAAGGTCAGATGACACCTGCCAGACAGACATGTACACCTTACAATCATTCCATACACCAAATATAGTAGACCTATTGCTGATAGTTTAAGAAAAACAGACCATAACACAAAAACTTAACACTGAGCAATGAACCGCGAAATTGAGGTCGAGGTCAAATAAAACTGCCAGACTGACATGTACATCGTAAAATATTTCCATGCACCAAATATAAAATTGAGAATGGAAATGGGGAATGCGTCGAAGAGACAACCCGACCAAAGAGCAGAAAACAGCCGAAGGCCACCAAGGGTCTTCAACACAGTGAGAAAATCCCACACCCGGAAGCGGTCTTCAGCTGGCCCCGAAACAAAAATATGTACTAGCTAGTTCAGTGAAAATGGATGTCACACTAACTCCAAAACATATATATGAACTAAAATTAAAAAACATAAAAGACTAACAAAGGCCAGAGGCACCTGACTTTGGACAGGCGCAAAAATGTGGCAGGGTTAATCATGTTTTGTGAGATCTCAAACCTCCCCCTATACCTCTAGCCAATGTAGAATAAACAAACACACAGCAATATGCATCGTAAAACTCAGAAATCTAAGTCTTCCACCTTCTAATATATAAACCTTTTAAGTAGATAGTTAACGCCGCCACCGCTGCCGATAAAAATCAATACCACTTTATATAATCCAAAGCATAAAAATTTTATTGTACTTACAGCAAAAATAGAAAAATACATGTATTTTTTCAAAATTATTGAAAATAAATTATCTACATAAATCTTGACACTAAAAATGTATTCAATTCTGTAAATTTACTACAATGTATAGTCATGTATCACTTCAGGATTTAAAATGTTTTACTTGCATGGGAGCTGAACATGAATAAACTGCCTGATAACCTTTGACAGTCAACAGATCTTAAATAAGTGTGTGTAAATATTGAGGTTTACAATTTATAACAGAAAGTAAAGATAAAATAATGAATGATAATTCACTTATATATAGTCACATTAAATATTTTAAATTTCAAGGTTAGACATTTTGTCTCTATTGGTATATAAGAATGAAAGTCATTTAGAAATATATTTATTTTGACACATTTCTTTATTTTCAGTATACATATGGTATACAATTTTTGTAATTGTAACTAAATGGATAGTAATTTACCGTAAGCATTCTGTTCATTCTAATTATTCTTGAGGCTAATGGAACCGTAAAATCTCAATAAAAATCCCTTTAATAAACCTATTGTTTGCATAATGCTGATGTTATTCAGCAATACCATTGAATTCTTTGAATTGTGACCCAGTTAATAACATCACAATTACTGATATATATGTGAAACTACCTATATGTACACAACCTTATATAAGGGGAAATGGACTTCTATAATGTGTAAGTTTAAGTGTACTTAAATATTTATAGGTTTTATTATGAGTAGGAATTGAATATAGCTTGATATCAACTTGAGTTATATAATTTCAATATAATAATAAATTAGCCTTTGTCGAGTTTATTATTACTATTTAAATTAAATAACGAAAAATGATATCAAGTGATATCCAATTCTTACGACTTGTTAAATCTATTTCTCTTACGGTAATCATTGTCTTTGTGTTAAATAGAAAATTTTGTGAATGGTTGATCTATAGCTAGTCATTTGCACATAATAGTATGACGTCATATGTCCTGATCTGGCATCAAACTTTGAAATCAGACATTTTAAAACTTTCTGTAAGCGTCAAAGTGTAATAAAATTTGACAAAAAATTTATTTTCATGTGAAAAGTGTGAGTGATTTGTATATTTTTGAAAAAATCACATATCTTCCTTGCCATGGAGGAAATGTACATCGTTTTGACCTTTGATAGTCATAAATCACGAATAGCCAATGGAAATGTCTGAAAATAGCTTCATGAAGCTGGTTTAGCAAATAAATATTAAAGCATTTTTCAATATCAAGAAATATCTATACAAAAAAGTCATGTAAGAAATAACAGGCCACATGTAATCACAAACGAAACAATAATTGTCATAAATTTTCTTTAATATTTTATTGAAAATAAAACTTTTATATGTGGCAGCCATGAATTATTGTTTACTGCCAAAGAAAATTGAAGACATGTACCAAGTAATGACTTACAATAAAATAAACTGTAATTTAAGTGGGTGAAATTATGTCATCTGTCATGGAAACTGTTGTCATCTTATTTTGTTGTCCCAGCTGTTTAATAATGCAGTACTCCTTTAAAACAGCATGACAGGCCTCAACAATACATTGTACCGATACTTTTACAGGACATGAAGTTATGTCATTTTTGTTAATCTTATTTGGAGAGAGCAAGGGACGCATATTCTTACTTTAAATCTTTATTATATTTTAATCTTAACTGTTGAAATTATCAATTATTTTATGCGTTGATTGCTTGCCCAGTAATACTTATGAAAAGAATGTAGATTTTTTATAAGTTTTAAAGCATGTAGCACCTTTCATATTAAGCACAGAGTTGCACACAGTGTCTATTAAGGACAGAGTTGCACATAGTGTGTATTAAGCACAGAGTTGCACACAGTGTGTACTAAGGACACAATTGCTTTCTGCTTAAAGTGTACCAGTCTTCACATTCATTCTGATCAATTGAAACGTTCTCAATATGATTTCGATCCATGTATTTACATGTAAGATACAGAAATGTAAGTTATAAAAATCCATAATGTAATTGTTTTCACCGTTGAAATACTTATTTATCTTCTTCAAAGATCTTATCTGTTGAACAACACAGAAATTTAGACTTAAAGCTCTTTAACAGTATATGTTTAGTTATCCAAACAATTTGTTCGAGCTATACTGAACAACAAAAATGACTAAGTGCTATTCCAGAAATAATTATGTATGGGGGGTTGGAAGACACTTTTTATTCAACCCACCATGCAAGAAATTTTGATTGATTATTTCATGTAATTGTTAAGGCTATATGTCTAGAATAACCACCACCCATCAAATTTTAATAAAAAATCCTTCCGAACCCCCCTCCCCCTCGCCCACCCAACCCCACCCCACTTACATTCTATTAATTCTGTAAAAGCCATAAAGAAATGTATTAAATTCATTGATTTGTGTTATGTGCACTGAAAAATTTAACAGACATACTCTATTTAAACACCCAGTGGATAGGACTGGTACAGATATACTCTATAAAAACACCCAGTGGATAGGACTGGTACAGACATACTCTATATAAACACCCAGTGGAGAGGACTGGTACAGACATACTCTATATAAACACCCAGTGGATAGGACTGGTACAGACATACTCTATATAAACACCCAGTGGATAGCACTGGTACAGAAATACTCTATATAAACACCAAGTGGATAGGACTGGTACAGATATACTCTATATAAACACCCAGTGGATAGCACTGGTACAGACATACTCTGTATAAACACCCAGTGGATAGCACTGGTACAGAAATACTCTATATAAACACCCAGTGGATAGCACTGGTACAGAAATACTCTATATAAACAACCAGTGGATAGCACTGGTACAGACATACTCTATATAAACACCCAGTAGAGAGGACTGGTACAGACATACTCTATATAAACACCCAGTGGATAGGACTGGTACAGACATATTCTATAAAAACACCCAGTGGTTAGGACTGGTACAGACATACTTTATAAAAAAATCCAGTGGATAGGACTGGTACAGACATACTCTTTATAAACACCCAGTGGATAGCACTGGTACAGACATACTCTATAAAAACACCCAGTGGATAGGACTGGTACAGACATACTCTATATGAACACCCAGTGGATAGCACTGGTACAGACATACTCTATATAAACACCCAGTGGATAGCACTGGTACAGACATACTCTGTATAAACACCCAGTGGATAGGACTGGTACAGATATACTCTATATAAACACTCAGTGGATAGCACTGGTACAGAAATACTCTATATAAACACTAAGTGGATAGCACTGGTACAGACATACTCTGTATAAACACTCAGTGGATAGGACTGGTACAGACATACTCTATATAAACACTCAGTGGATAGCACTGGTACAGACATACTCTATATAAACACTCAGTGGATAGCACTGGTACAGACATACTCTGTATAAACACCCAGTGAATAGCACTGGTACAGACATACTCTGTATAAACACCCAGTGGATATCACTGGTACAGAAGTACTCTATATAAACACCCAGTGGATAGCACTGGTACAGACATACTCTGTATAAACACCCAGTGGATAGCACTGGTACAGACATACTCTATATAAACACCCAGTGGATAGGACTGGTACAGACATACTCTATAAAAACACCCAGTGGATAGAACTGGTACCGACATACTCTATATAAACACTCAGTGGATAGCTCTGGTACAGACATACTCTGTATAAACACCCAGTAAATAGCACTGGTACAGACATACTCTGTATAAACACCCAGTGGATATCACTGGTACAGAAATACTCTTTATAAACACCCAGTGGATAGCACTGGTACAGAAATACTTTGTATAAACACCCAGTGAATAGCACTGGTACAGACATATTCTATATAAACACCCAGTGAATAGCACCGGTACAGAAATACTCTGTATAAACACCCAGTAAATAGCACCGGTACAGACATACTCTGTATAAACACCCAGTGGATAGCACTGATACAGAAATACTCTATATAAACACCCAGTGGATAGCACTGGTACAGACATACTCTGTATAAACACCCAGTGGATAGCACTGGTACAGACATACTCTATATAAACACCCAGTGGAAAGGACTGGTACAGACATACTCTATAAAAACACCCAGTGGATAGAACTGGTACCGACATACTCTATATAAACACTCAGTGGATAGCACTGGTACAGACATACTCTGTATAAACATCCAATGGATAGCACTGGTACAGAAATACTCTATATAAACACTCAGTGGTTAGCACTGGTACAGACATACTCTGTATAAACACCCAGTGGATAGGACTGGTACAGAAATACTCTATATAAACACTCAGTGGATAGCACTGGTACAGAAATACTCTATATAAACACTAAGTGGATAGCACTGGTACAGAAATACTCTATATAAACATCAATTGGAAAGCACTGGTACAGACATACATTGTATAAACATTCAGTGGATAGCACTGGTACAGACATACTCTATATAAACACTCAGTGGATAGCACTGGTACAGACATACTCTGTATAAACATCCAGTGGATAGCACTGGTACAGAAATACTCTATATAAACACTCAGTGGATAGCACTGGTACAGAAATACTCTATATAAACACTCAGTGGATAGCACTGGTACAGAAATACTCTATATAAACAACCAGTGGATAGCACTGGTACAGAAATACTCTATATAAACACTCAGTGGATAACACTGATACAGACATACTCTGTATAAACATCAAGTGGATAGCACTGGTACATAAATACTCTATATAAACACTAAGTGGATAGCACTGATATATAAATACTCTATATAAACACCCAGTGGATAGGACTGGTACAGAAATACTCTATATAAACACTCATTGGATAGCACTGGTACAGAAATACTCTATATGAACACCCAGTAGATAGCACTGGTACAGAAATACAGCTTCTTTTAAATAGGTAACAGCATCAAGTAAAGAAAGGATACAAACTCTTCTGAGATACTGTAGTAATGTTGTTTCTGGACTAGGAGACTCCTCTTCCACCTGTAAAAATAGATTTTACCATACATACATTACTGTGAAATAATCATTAGGTTCAAATGACATTCTGAAAAGTAGAAATAATGACAGACTTTGTCTCAACAAATTCTTAACCTTCTGAATTTGTCTGATACATCTTAAAGGGGCATTAGCTGTCAAATTCATGTCCACCAATTTGACCCAAATTCTCATACATTTATAACATACTAAAATAAATACCCAAATTACAAAAAGTCCAAAAGAAACAATTAACAATGCATGGGCTTGCTTTAATGTTTCAGCATTTCGTACGTATTTTAGACTAGTCCCCATCTAAATATCCATCGAGATGACCTCCCAAGACTGCCTACGGTCATATAACCCGATATAAACATAAATTTAAATACAAATAGATAGCAAGCATGTGCAATCAGATTTGTCTAGGTCTGTTTGATTTCATCAAGTTCATGTTACAGGTTAAAATAAATGTAAATCATTGTTTAACCTGTATAAGAATGCTTTTTGACTGAAATGGTTATTCTTGGTGGCTCCCTTGTTTCATTTTTCAATGTTGACATTCTTTTCTTTTTAACGAATGAATCACATGATGAACACATGGGCACCCATCTCCTCTAAAGGTCAGATTAAAAGGTTGTTTGACTACGGATTCAAATGAGTTGATTTTTTACTAGCAAGTGATATTTTTTTAGCTTATTTTGACGAAATTGAACCAAGCTGACTGTTAATAGCGAAATATTATTTCTTTATTCTGCTTTTATAAATGTTTTAAACAAAAAAAAATCATATTTTATTTTTTGTCGAATTCGTAGCTAACTGCTAACCTGTGTTATAAATTTTTTTCTTGGGACTAAAATTGTTATCGTCTTTAATCAATTCACAAATACAAACTTTTTTTTATTAAAAATTCGTAAGGGTTCCGCAGAACCCAGTGTCTCGCCTACTTTTTCTGTTAATCGCAGGCTCAACAAAAATGAGGAAGTAAATCAATAAAAATATTCCTCTTGATACTATCTTTTGATTGTAAGAAGCTTCTGTCCAAGTTTGGTAAAAATCCAGGATAGTTTATGAATCTAATAAATGTTTAAAAACTTTAACTGCAGACTGAATGTAATGTTAACTGGAAGAAAAAAAAAATTTCCTTCTAGATACTAGCATTTGACCATAAACAAGCTTCTGTCCAAGTTTGGTACAAATCCAAAATAGTATAAGAAAGTTCTTAAAATTTTAAAAACTTTAACCACAGAGTGAATGTGTTGTTTCCTGGCAGAAAATCTAAGTCCATTTAAAAGTAAAATACTGAAAAAAATGGATTTATTTTTTTACAAAATTTCCTTCTAGATACTAGCTTTTGATCATAAACAAGCTTCTGTCCAAGTTTGGTACAAATCCAAAATAGTATAAGAAAGTTATTAAAATTTTAAAAACTTTAATCACAGAGTGAATGTGTTGTTTCCTGGCAGAAAATCTAAGTCCATTTAAAAGTAAAATAAGGAAAAAATGGATTTTTTTTTTTACAAAATTTACTTCTGGATACTATCTTATGATCATAAACAAGCTTCTGTCCAAGTTTGGTAGAAATCCAGGATAGTATAAGAAAGTTATTAAAATTTCAAAAACTTTAACCACAGAGTGAATATTTGTGGATGTCACCGCCGCCGACGACGAACCCGACGACGACAAAGCCGACGGAATGTAGGATCGCTATGTCTCGCTTTTTCGACTAAAGTTGAAGGCTCGACAAAAATACAGGTACAAGAACTTTATTATCTCAACATTGTGCAAGTATTTATCTACATATCTAAGAAATAATTCATGCAAGCCGTTTAGTATTTATCACCCTGTCCCAGGTTAACATGGTTAAAGGAGGGTTTAGTGCTCGCAAACATGTTTAACCCTGCCACTTTCTTTTTGTGCCTCAGAGGCATATTTAGGGGGGGCCAGGGGGCCTGGGCCCCCCTTTTGTCGGAAAAATTGGGTTGATTATATAGGGAATCACTGAAGCATGACTGGAGCACCCGGCCCCCTCTTAGGCAGTCAGTGGGCCCCACTTATGAAAATTTCTGGATCCGCCACTGTTCCTTCAAAATCCAGGAGCCTCTTATTCAGTGGTTGTCCTCAACAAGGTTTATATCTGTCATATTTGTTTTTCATAAATTGTTTTGTTATAGTTTTCTCATTTGAATAGTTTCACATTTTTTTTTTTAATTGTTATGTTTTTTCACAAACATGCTTTGTTTGGAATGCAACATAAAACTCTTCGATTTTGAAGTAAAAAATGTATCAGTTATTTCCCTTGTTTGGTAAATGAGGTCATATGCAGTGATGATGATGGCGATGGTTACTGTACAAGCATAAGTATGACTCAAGGGAATTCCATGTCAATGTGACACATTTATTCCGAGATTTAACCCTTTTACCGCCCCTTCTACAATGTATGTTTTTTTTGGTTTTTTTTTAAATCAATCCCAATCTAATTGTGTAGGTCTATTATCCAGTAATCATGCTAATGATCACTTATTAGAATATTTTACAAATGTTTGATGTATTTAATTATAAAACATGTTCAACGTGTCTGATTGTCAAATAATTTGCTGTTCACACAATATCATATAATGATTTAATTCTGAAGACTCGTGATTAATAATCATGGTAATACTCCATGTACTCCTTTAATTAGTTTTGAATTGAACACCATTATGATTGCTTCAAATTACTTATCAATGAAACTCTAACTTCTTCAGTGTATGTTGCTAAAATATTTTCTATTTTTTATATTTCAGGAATGACTGTAATATTTTTTCTGTCTATGAAGAAATAACATAAAAAATGTGGTACATACTGAATAACCTGAGTATCAGGTTATATATAAGTGTGCACAACATTTTTTAGGTCGGGATCAGAAACCTGAACTTAACTACTATGTTAACCAGACTAGAAGGCGAGAACATCGAAGAGACGAAAGCAAAACTACGAACAGTGGCACATTACATTGACAGAACTAGCAGATTTGATACTGCTGTTCCTCAATCCCAATCTTAACCAGCACATATCCATTTAAAGTACAGAGGGGAAAATACCTTGAGCAAAACGCACAAAGGAGAAAATCTGCACATTGAGACAATTAGTGCCAACAGGCCTTAAGATTGAGGATTGAGGATTGAGGATGGCCATATTAGCCAGACGGTTATGATGAACCTTAAATATGATTGTCCACAGGCACTTGTTTCTATCCATGGGAAGGTCAACTATCCATATGCACTTCTATAACATATGGATAGTCTACCGTCCCATGGATAGAAACAAGTGCCTGTGCTTACATATGGATAGTCTACCTTCCCATGGATAGAAACAAGTGCCTGTGTGATTGTCAAAGAATTGCAGTTGTAACGGAGATGCTGTGAAATAATCTCCCATTGCTAGAAATTGGGATGACTCAAAATGAACTATATCACTGTGCAAGAACGGAATACCAAAGTGAAAATATAAATGAAATTATATTATGATGATTAAAAGACGTTTTTTCCAACTTACTATATATTTTATAGAAAACTTTTCCATTCTTATGGAGGAATTATACCTTATAACCATGATAACTGAACTTGTAAAAAGGATACACTTATCATAGAAATATTTTGTACTGGGTCTCAATTAGACCAGTGGAGCTGTATTTGCTCCACACTCTTTGACTGTGAATTTACTTAGAGGAGCTGAAATAGCTCTGCACTTATTTACTAATTACTTAAATTAACTAAATTTATGTTTTGGTTTCATTGTTCACATGTAAATTTATGTGGAATATTTAATAAAGTATCTGAACATCAGTATTTAGTCTCATTTGCCAGACTGAACATCAGTATTTAGTTTCATTTGCCAGACTGAACATCAGTATTTAGTCTCATTTGCCAGAGCTCAGTCCCAGAGGAACGAACCTATGTCCGACGTTTAATCGACACCAGGGAACGGTGATGTATAGCCACCCGACCCTCCTGTTACATTTTATGGTGACCAATGTGTTATCTGACTTGAAACTTGGTAGTGAGATCCAGATAATGATACTTTGATTTTTACTTAACTCAGTATATGAATTTTATGTATATGTTGTTGTTGATTTTATGTATGAAACTTGATGTTCACATATTTCAGTATTGTTAAATGGAATAAACTTATGGTTTTAATATTTAAATAGAAAAAAAAAAGGAAATGAATAGAAAAATTTGTAGGAAATGTTATAGAATATATGATAAATATATAGAAGTAATATACAGTATACAACTGTTAAGAGACAGAGGAGAATTATATTTGAGAGTTCAATGATTACATACATTACATTTTATAGACACTTGGTTTAGCAATCACAGGAATACGCTTACATTCTCAAAACATGAACTATATATATCACTGTGCAAGAACGGAATACTAAAGTGTAAATATAAATGAAATTATATTATGATGATTTATGGACGTTTTTTCCAACTTACTATATATTTTATAGAAAACTTTGCCATTCTTATGGAGGAATTATACCTTATAACTGGATAGACTTATTATAGAAATATTTTGTACTGGGTCTCAATACACCTTATCGCTATTTAGTCCAATCCGGAAAAAAACAGTCATTTAGACAACTTCCTGTTTGGGTCAACAGGCCGCAAACAAAGGTCATCAGTAACGAGCTGAGGGAGGGAAAAATTTATAGAAAGCGATCAATAGGAAACTTTGATAGATTATGATCCACTTTTTCCAAACTCAAATTATAGTCAAAAAAATATTGTGTTTGAAGTATTTACGATGTTTTAAACAGGTCTCATTAAAAAGTATCATGCATGTTGCATTGTTTAAACAGGGTCCCAGATAGCTTCAACTGGATGAAAAAGTTGTGTAATTTTAGAACTTATCCGGAATGGAATAAATAGCGATTAGGTGTATTAGACCACTGGAGCTGTATTTGCTCCACACTCTCTGACTGTGAATTTACTTAGAAATAGAGGAGCTGAAATAACTCCGCACTTAATATAATTATTAATTACTAATCTGTCCCGCTTGAACTATTGACGTCATCAGAGACATATAATACATATGTCTCTGACGTCATACAACAAATTACACTTTTCCATTGTGGTGTCAGATATTTTGTATTATGACGTCAAAATTTTACGGGAACCAGTGTGATGTCCAGTAATGGCGGACAAATAGCGATAAGGTGTATAGCCGACCCTCCTGTTACACAGTAAATGAGTAAGTTTTACATACAGTACTACCTTTCTTCCATTTATGAAGAAGACAAGAGAATGTTTTCCCATGTTCACCGTATTTTCGTCGTCTCCTTCTTTTCTGTGTCTTCTACTTTTTATAGCACATCAGCTAAGTAGACTTTCAATTGTTTTTACGTAAATGTCCTGAATATTGACCTCTGATCTCTGATAATGGCAAGTTCCGACAACCACTGAAGGGGTAAATTCAGTAAATAAATATACGTCATCAGGGACCGCCCATTTGGGGGAGAGCTTTCTGTATAAAACTGAAGTCATGTGCTCTTCTGATTGGTAGATAATGTTTGTAATAAATATTTTTTGATAGATGGATAAAAACTAGAGTTGAAAAAAAAAAATAAATAAATGCTGAATGTACTAAATATTTTTACTACAGGGTTGAAAAGTAATGGGGGTCAGTGAAGGAATTAAGTGCGAATCTACAGTGTTTGTAAACAAGGCCATGTGAAGGCCCAAAAATGCCGCATGACCCTATGTTTTTATTGTTGCAAATGATAGGGCTACATTTGTACTTTCATGAATGATATATGAAATTTTCTAATTTCTAAAGGTAAATCAGGTATAAATTTAATTCAAGACATAGATTAGCATTACAGTCAATGGGAGATTTTTTACTGAATTTACCCCTATAGGAAAATATGCATTCTGTCACTGTACTTGTCCAAGGCCACACAATAATCACAAAACTTGTTTCCTGTGTATATTAATGCAATGGAAGCATTTTGGAACCATTTGAAGTTGTTTTTTACACAAATTTCTATGTTTAACTCGGCTATCCAAGATGCACTGAGTGTACTGTGAGAGGAAGCATGGGGTATATGGTAAACATCAGTTTTTGTGTCCAGATTGAACGAAACAATAGAAATTACACTTGAGAGTTATGATATCAATGAAAGGCATAAATATTCCCCCCATTTTACAACACATTTTGCACATATTTCTCCTCATAATGTGTAAAATCATATGGAAAATCAGAATTACCTCCCTTTGACAGTGTATTTTTTTTAGCTGTGTTTCACCATGTTAAGTTGTAGAACAAGTTGTAAATAAGCACTTTTCAAATATTTTAACACTTGAATAATCTGACCGCATGAAGATATTCATTTATTTTTACATAACGCATTGCGTTTCTTTATTTAAACAAAATTGTAGATAACTTTTTATGATTACATGCCCTTCATCTATGAAACTAGTGTTGAAATGTTTGTAATTGGATTACTATGTTAAATAATTGCTTTTAAATATTCTAAATTGTTACTTTAATCTTCCAAATGCAAAGTTTGGTCATACCCAGTCATATTTTTTCATATTTGGCACTTTTTTCTACTTCAGTTTTGTCTGTCTAGTTTTGGCGAAGAAACCATCCTGATGTTGGGGTAACAGGAATTTCTGCAGAGTGATTGTCAATGACATTTTGTGAACTTTACAAGTAATTAAAACACAAATTTAGTAAAATGAAACATAATTGTTGGTTTTTTTTGTATGAAACTGCTTAAAAAAGCCTTTGAAAAGTGTTTTTGTGGTCTTTTCAGGGTATTTAATCAAACACTTCCATATAAGGCAAAATTTAACTAAGAGTACATCAAGACTTTAGTTTCTAGATGTACTTGCAATACTAGTCAAAGCAAACACAGAAAACAATTCATATTTATTAAGCATAGTATTTTACACCATTCTTTTACAAACAGTCAATATGCAACTTTATATACCAAATATACATTGGCCGCAGTATGGGCTGTAGTATAAATTTTCCTCTATCTTTACAAGTTCTGCATTTATGAATGTTGTATTGAAACTGGAACTTGAAAATTGGATACATTACATGATTATTACAAAAAAAGAGGGAAAAGCTACTAAAAAGTCCCTTATAGGGGTAAATTCAGTAAATAAATATACGTCATCAGGGACCGCCCATTTGGGGGAGAGCTTTCTGTATAAAACTGAAGTCATGTGCTCTTCTGATTGGTAGATAATGTTTGTAATAAATATTTTTTGATAGATGGATAAAAACTAGAGTTGAAAAAAAAAAATAAATAAATGCTGAATGTACTAAATATTTTTACTACAGGGTTGAAAAGTAATGGGGGTCAGTGAAGGAATTAAGTGCGAATCTACAGTGTTTGTAAACAAGGCCATGTGAAGGCCCAAAAATGCCGCATGACCCTATGTTTTTATTGTTGCAAATGATAGGGCTACATTTGTACTTTCATGAATGATATATGAAATTTTCTAATTTCTAAAGGTAAATCAGGTATAAATTTAATTCAAGACATAGATTAGCATTACAGTCAATGGGAGATTTTTTACTGAATTTACCCCTATAGGAAAATATGCATTCTGTCACTGTACTTGTCCAAGGCCACACAATAATCACAAAACTTGTTTCCTGTGTATATTAATGCAATGGAAGCATTTTGGAACCATTTGAAGTTGTTTTTTACACAAATTTCTATGTTTAACTCGGCTATCCAAGATGCACTGAGTGTACTGTGAGAGGAAGCATGGGGTATATGGTAAACATCAGTTTTTGTGTCCAGATTGAACGAAACAATAGAAATTACACTTGAGAGTTATGATATCAATGAAAGGCATAAATATTCCCCCCATTTTACAACACATTTTGCACATATTTCTCCTCATAATGTGTAAAATCATATGGAAAATCAGAATTACCTCCCTTTGACAGTGTATTTTTTTTAGCTGTGTTTCACCATGTTAAGTTGTAGAACAAGTTGTAAATAAGCACTTTTCAAATATTTTAACACTTGAATAATCTGACCGCATGAAGATATTCATTTATTTTTACATAACGCATTGCGTTTCTTTATTTAAACAAAATTGTAGATAACTTTTTATGATTACATGCCCTTCATCTATGAAACTAGTGTTGAAATGTTTGTAATTGGATTACTATGTTAAATAATTGCTTTTAAATATTCTAAATTGTTACTTTAATCTTCCAAATGCAAAGTTTGGTCATACCCAGTCATATTTTTTCATATTTGGCACTTTTTTCTACTTCAGTTTTGTCTGTCTAGTTTTGGCGAAGAAACCATCCTGATGTTGGGGTAACAGGAATTTCTGCAGAGTGATTGTCAATGACATTTTGTGAACTTTACAAGTAATTAAAACACAAATTTAGTAAAATGAAACATAATTGTTGGTTTTTTTTGTATGAAACTGCTTAAAAAAGCCTTTGAAAAGTGTTTTTGTGGTCTTTTCAGGGTATTTAATCAAACACTTCCATATAAGGCAAAATTTAACTAAGAGTACATCAAGACTTTAGTTTCTAGATGTACTTGCAATACTAGTCAAAGCAAACACAGAAAACAATTCATATTTATTAAGCATAGTATTTTACACCATTCTTTTACAAACAGTCAATATGCAACTTTATATACCAAATATACATTGGCCGCAGTATGGGCTGTAGTATAAATTTTCCTCTATCTTTACAAGTTCTGCATTTATGAATGTTGTATTGAAACTGGAACTTGAAAATTGGATACATTACATGATTATTACAAAAAAAGAGGGAAAAGCTACTAAAAAGTCCCTTATAGGGGTAAATTCAGTAAATAAATATACGTCATCAGGGACCGCCCATTTGGGGGAGAGCTTTCTGTATAAAACTGAAGTCATGTGCTCTTCTGATTGGTAGATAATGTTTGTAATAAATATTTTTTGATAGATGGATAAAAACTAGAGTTGAAAAAAAAAAATAAATAAATGCTGAATGTACTAAATATTTTTACTACAGGGTTGAAAAGTAATGGGGGTCAGTGAAGGAATTAAGTGCGAATCTACAGTGTTTGTAAACAAGGCCATGTGAAGGCCCAAAAATGCCGCATGACCCTATGTTTTTATTGTTGCAAATGATAGGGCTACATTTGTACTTTCATGAATGATATATGAAATTTTCTAATTTCTAAAGGTAAATCAGGTATAAATTTAATTCAAGACATAGATTAGCATTACAGTCAATGGGAGATTTTTTACTGAATTTACCCCTATAGGAAAATATGCATTCTGTCACTGTACTTGTCCAAGGCCACACAATAATCACAAAACTTGTTTCCTGTGTATATTAATGCAATGGAAGCATTTTGGAACCATTTGAAGTTGTTTTTTACACAAATTTCTATGTTTAACTCGGCTATCCAAGATGCACTGAGTGTACTGTGAGAGGAAGCATGGGGTATATGGTAAACATCAGTTTTTGTGTCCAGATTGAACGAAACAATAGAAATTACACTTGAGAGTTATGATATCAATGAAAGGCATAAATATTCCCCCCATTTTACAACACATTTTGCACATATTTCTCCTCATAATGTGTAAAATCATATGGAAAATCAGAATTACCTCCCTTTGACAGTGTATTTTTTTTAGCTGTGTTTCACCATGTTAAGTTGTAGAACAAGTTGTAAATAAGCACTTTTCAAATATTTTAACACTTGAATAATCTGACCGCATGAAGATATTCATTTATTTTTACATAACGCATTGCGTTTCTTTATTTAAACAAAATTGTAGATAACTTTTTATGATTACATGCCCTTCATCTATGAAACTAGTGTTGAAATGTTTGTAATTGGATTACTATGTTAAATAATTGCTTTTAAATATTCTAAATTGTTACTTTAATCTTCCAAATGCAAAGTTTGGTCATACCCAGTCATATTTTTTCATATTTGGCACTTTTTTCTACTTCAGTTTTGTCTGTCTAGTTTTGGCGAAGAAACCATCCTGATGTTGGGGTAACAGGAATTTCTGCAGAGTGATTGTCAATGACATTTTGTGAACTTTACAAGTAATTAAAACACAAATTTAGTAAAATGAAACATAATTGTTGGTTTTTTTTGTATGAAACTGCTTAAAAAAGCCTTTGAAAAGTGTTTTTGTGGTCTTTTCAGGGTATTTAATCAAACACTTCCATATAAGGCAAAATTTAACTAAGAGTACATCAAGACTTTAGTTTCTAGATGTACTTGCAATACTAGTCAAAGCAAACACAGAAAACAATTCATATTTATTAAGCATAGTATTTTACACCATTCTTTTACAAACAGTCAATATGCAACTTTATATACCAAATATACATTGGCCGCAGTATGGGCTGTAGTATAAATTTTCCTCTATCTTTACAAGTTCTGCATTTATGAATGTTGTAT